GTTCGTGGATGGTGGGGGGGCGTGAAAACCCGCGCTTAGTCAGCTCTAAACTGACGCCGGGGCGTCAGTGTATTGGGACCCGACTCAGATCGCCCTACTTACATAAGCTTCAAAGGCTTCCAAAGCCAAAGGATAAGGTTTTCGACGCCCACGAATCCGTTTTCCAGAAGAACCCAAACCATCCACCCCACCCGGTCGGGGTACGCTATGCTGAAGCGCCTCTTTACGAGCCCACAATTGCGAAGCGCATCAAAAGCCACCTGCCACACGCACTTTCAGCCACGAAACATGGCCTCCAGAGTCGCAGAAGATACCTGTGGGTTCCCAGAAGGGATGGACGTGGAAGAGCGATTCCATGCGAACGCACGTGGTGGGCGTGCCCCACGAGGAACCGGTCGTGGAAGAGGGAGGGGTGGTCGAGGCGGTGGGGGAAGGATGAACCGTGAGATGGAGGTTTCGAAGGCTCTGTCCAAGCTTCTGCGTCATCATGCTGAAGAGGCCGGTGTGAAGTTGGATAATGAGGGGTTTGCTAGATTGGACCAAGTGGTGAGTTCTTACGTTCTTTTTAATCTAGAACACACATTTTATATCAATTCCCACCCTGCTCTCACTGCTGGCGTTCAACTGGTAGGACGGGTGGATTTCATATATTGTCTGGTCTCGTGATATTTACATGACCATTCTGAATTCCCTCGATTCTTCCTAATTTTTGTATTTCCAAACACAAATGTCACTAACAAACCACCTAGCTCTCATGGTCCCGCCTGAAATCCCTCCAAGTGACTTTCCCAGAAATCCTCACAGCAGTAAACGACAATGCCAAAAACCGTTTCTCCATGAAACCCAATCCAACCCTCTCGCCTCCACCGGAAGCAACTTCCACCGAACCCAGCGACTGGGTAATCCGCGCCAATCAAGGTCACAGTATCGCAATCAATTCCGAGGCTCTTCTAAAACCCATCACCCTCACGTCCGAAAATATACCTGAGATAGTCATTCACGGTACCTATTTTGCATTCTATCAAGCGATTCTGGAATCTGGTGGCTTGAAGAAAATGGGTAGGACGCACATTCATTTTAGTACTGGTCTTCCGGATGACGAGGTAAAAGTGATTAGTGGGATGAGAGGAGATGCCGAGTTATTGATCTATATTGATATCAAGAAGTCTCTAGAGGATGGAAAGACGCTGTGGTGGGTTAGTGAGAATGGGGTGGTGTTGACAGAGGGAGATGAGAATGGTGTGCTGAGTACCAAGTACTGGACGAAGGTTGTAGGACGAAGGGAGGCAGAATGTGGTGTTCTTTGGCAGGATGGTGAGAAGCTCCAGGATTTGCCCGAGGGGTTGAAGAATCGCAAAGCACCTTTCGGAAAGGGACATCTGCCGAAGAGTAGAGGTCATCAGGAGAGAGGTAGAGGTAGAGGTGGCCGAGGCCGTGGAAGAGGTGCTGGCGATTATAATCCCCCCAGCACAGAAGGCGTAGCAAACTCATAGTAGCTACATACAAATAAATCCAAAATCGTGCATACAGTACACCGATTTAGCGTGTTCTAACATGAGATGTAATCCATCTGTAAGCACATCAACATACACCTGAAAAGCCAAAGAAATGGGGCTGATAATACTGTAAGAGGAGAATCTCATTTCTCTCTAAGAGCTTCGTCTCATGCATACATAGCTCTTTACCTAGTACCCGTACCCATACATCAACTTCCATATCCAATCTCGCTCACATTACATTGACCTAAATTCCCCCCTACCCCCTTGCTATTCAAAACTCTCCGTGGCATGCGACTTATTGTCGGTTTTTGCGGCCTTTGCGGCCAGCACTGCCAAATCCTCGTGGACGGAATCCATTGATTCTCTCTTTCTTTTCTTCTCTTCGGCCTCTTGCTGCTCCGTCCTATGTTTCTCTATCGATTTGAGGAAACTGACAAGTTCCTGTGCGATTGCTTCCTTTGCGTTTTTCTGTCCGAAGACACCCTTTACCATACCAACCGGACCATCGATTCGGGGGTCCCCGGCGAAATGCGCGTAACCATCCCACAATGCAGCATTCTCGACGACTTTGGTGAGCTCGTATCTTGGAACATCAAATCCTAGCCGATTGCAAAGATCAGGAACCTGGCTCGTATATTTGATTTTGTTGGGCGTGGAAGGTGCAGCTGCAGATTGTTGTTGTTGTGGCGGTGGTGGTTGGGGTTTGGGCGCTTTGGCAGTTTGCTTGGGTTGTGGCTGAGAAGCTTTGGGGAATTTTAATGATGCGTAATTGGGCATGAAGCCGTTTCCCACCAACCAGTCGATGGCTCGTTTGGAGGCGTAGTGTTTGGCGGCTTTTTTGTTTGCGAAAGATATGACATTCGAGTTTCCTCCAAATTTTATAGGCGTCTCACGAATTTCCACGGCGCATGAGAAGCGTGGTGGATTCCCTGGTAATGTGTGTTCGGTGTAAGTCAAGCCTGTTCCCGTCGCCGCTGGGTGAACACTTCGATATTCTATGTAATGAGATTAGTGTCAGTCTTTCAAAATTCTGACATCCGTATCCCGAGAATATCCTACCGTTTAATTTTCCGATCCAATTCGTGTCACCCATATCTTTGACCGCAATTGCTTCCTCGTCGAGAATCTCTTGATCGATGAATCTCTTCGGCTTCTTGGTCGGTGCTGGTTGACCTTTGGGTTGACTTCCAAGTAAAGCAGCCTCCCTCTCATCTCCCTCCCTCATAAAATCGTCCATAGATTGTAGTTGGACCTTTCCAGGTAGTGGCGATTGTTCCTCCATCGTGACAACTGGGTAGCCCAACCCTCACGTCAATAGGTATTGTCTGTATCAATGCTCAGCTACTGCACAAGGACCTGAGTACAAAGAGACAAATAATTTGATATTTAGTCTGAAGACCCAGCGGGCGTGGTGGTGGTATAAGGTCGGTTGTTCTTTTGATGGAAGTATGAGGTAGACAAATCTAGGTTAGGAGAGCGCAATAACCTATGTACCTAGACTGACCGGGTGAGGTAGTCAGCTGTCACGTGGGCTGCCCGGGACATTCCATCCAATTGCATGAATGAATGGAAACTATTCACTATCGGCTATTTCTCACATATATTGAGCAATGGATTGAAACTTTCCACTTTAAGTTTCTTGACTGTTCAGCTCCTTTGACAAGGAATCAAACCTGTCAAGATTGCAGAAAATGTGTAAAATTCCTGCACTTAAAAACAACACCTTCAGATCAAGCATCCATCCATCCGTAAGTAGACATATTATCATTTTACTGGAGGTGTTCCTGTGTCAGGAGACTTTGAAAAGCAATGGCATGTCATGATTGAGCCAGCCGCCCAAAGCTGCCAGTATAGAATTGTTCCACCGTACCACACTTTCTTCTAAATTCCAAACCCAGGAGTTTTACAAAGACCCCTGGGTTTAGTTTAGTGACAGCCAATATAAGCAGCCTGAATGATACACTGATGGAAACATCAGTATCTCAATCACGTTTACGAGGAATCATGCCAGAACACTGACGCTGCTGTTGGGTACTAAGCTCAGATGTCTCTTGTCATTTCTTCCTGGAAAGAGATAAAGCCCAATAACTTGTTAATAATCTTCTTATCAACTCTAACAATGATCAAATAGTAGCCTCTGTGTTCTAGCACTAGTCCACCATAGCTGTAACACCTGTGCTAAACTGAAAAAACAAAACAGAAGCCCTCCCACACTCAGCTGAAAAGTCCTCTGAATTGGCATAAGAATTTTTCTGCTGTCAAGCTAGCACTATCACTTTGTCTAGAGTTGGTCAAGACACTGTAATCATACCATCTTGATTCGTCACATTTGCACAATTGGAAAAGTACATAAAAACAACTAGGAGGGAAATAGATTTGTTTGTAGTTGATCCCATAGCATAAAGCTCTTTTTCAGGTGGTACTGAAGAAAGCCGCTGCCATGGTTAAGTGGGTTCTTGATTTTCTCATTGGAAATCGAGGACCTCATCTAATCCACAGAATCTATCCTTTGGGGTATCATATCATAACTTTCACGCTGAAGCTTCCCTTGAACACTCAAAACAACAAGAACCTTGCTGATTTCAATCTTCAAAAAAACCACCATCACTATTGTCATCATCGTCGTTGTTCCTCTTGACGTTGAGAGATGCCCCAAATAGCTCATTCTTTTCAGATCCTCGGGTGTGGTTCTTCTTTCTACTGACAACATCTTGTACCCTGTTCTGACGTCTTCTTTCGCGACGATTGAGTCCTGATGTGTCTGGTACAGTGGCAGTTTTTGGTTTCTTTTTTGACTTTACCAAGCGGGGTCCAGTTGGCTTTGGCTTTTGAGTCAAGACGGTGCTTGTCCTATTTCGCAATTGAGTGAGGGTACCATCTTCCATGCATTTCTCAACTTCCGCCCACATTGGAGGTTTTGCTGGTGGGTCTGAATCTCCTGAGCTATCTTCTTCCTCCGTTCCTGGTTTCTTCTGTGGATATAAACTGATGTATCGTTCACTTAGTGGCGAGTATTGCGTGTAACTCAAGTCCACTTCTGCGATATGCATCTTGGTTTTTAGCATCTCGACCTCCTCCTCTGACGTGGTCTCCAGTAACTGCTTGCGAAGCTTTTTCAAAATTCTGGCCGCCTTTTTACGTTCTACAGAAAATTGTTAGCATGGAATGGAAAGGACTAAATAAATGGACATACCAAAAAACCGAACCATGTGATATTTTCCAATCATTTTCTGTCGGATTTTTTCGGCCTCAGCGGCCTCCAATTCATGAACATACGCCTCGAGGGCCCGCTCGTCATCCATTCTTACAGTTGCTGGCAGATCGTCGGCGCGTTCAAGTCTTCGGGAAACATCGCGAATTCGTTTCTTGATTGCGTTCACGCTCGATGCATGCGCTTGCTTCTTGTGTGCTGGAGGCTCGAATCTGCGGGGCTTTTTGGAAGGCTTCGGTCTGCTACCTGGAACTTGGAATTGACGAGATTCATGGACAGTTTCCTGAGGGTCCGACTCTTCGTGTTTTCGCTTGCCTGGCATTTTGTTGCTCCGATGGTGCTGTGGTACTGCTCAGCCGCTCTTTTTTGGCTTTGGCGTGGTTTGGTGATGGTTTGGTGACGGGTACTCTATGTAGTTAGAGTAGAGTAGAGCAGAGCTAGTCATGTCTCATTGTACATCTTTTTCCAGCAGCCTGACCGCCTTCTGGCAGAAAAAGAACTATGTCACGTGTTGACAGGGTGCTAGCAGGGAGGCTCAGGCCGGCTCAACTACGGGATAACCTCATCCTGCAAGCTCTTTCCCCGCCACCCCACCACCATTCTCAACACCATTCCAAAGGCCGAATATTAGCCGGACCTATCAGATATCCGCCATGGCGACAAATAGTTCTGAAGATGCTACTCAATTGTAAGTCTACCCGTGGACCATCCTCCATCCATCAACCTTCCACAGTCGCGTCCAGTTCTTGAATTCACACACCTTCCAAACCCTACGCGCATTTTTTGTCGCACCAGCATCAGACAATTTTCACGTCTTCCACTCCAAAAGATCTTAGAGCTTGCGGATGATGGTGCGCGCAAGCAATATCTGATATCCCAGATCGAGATAGTTGACTTGAATTGACAATAACCTAGATCGAGCACCACCACCGCCAACACTCCAGCAACACCACTACCGCCAACTACAGCACCAAAGCCTGCTGTATTTGGTACTCTCAAGCCTTGGAAAATCATGGAGAGCCACCAAGGAATTATTCGCTGGTCCCCCAATCCATCACGGGACGAGTTCCTGGTACTGAACCTCTACCGCCAAACTGTCCAAGTCTACGAGGCGACGGGCCACGCGCAACCAGGCAAATTTGATTATGGGCCACGCTCCGTTCACACCAAGCTTCCTGCTATCCTCACCTACGACTGGTCACCAGCAGTCCAAGGACTTGTTGCGGTCGGCACCAATCACGGAGAGGTGCACTTACTACGTGTTGATGACGACTCGAGCGACTCCATCACTCTCCCTCTTAAATTGCAACGACCTTGCCAGTCGATTGCATTCAATACTACTGGCTTACTTGCCGTCGGTCTTGATAGAATCCGAAATGACTCTTGTCTTCAAATTTGGGATATTAATCAGCGTCTTGGCAACTGGGATTCGAAGCAGTTGGGCTGGGGAAATTCCACAGTGAATATCGAACCAAGAAAGAAACTCGAAGCAAGTGTTTCCATCACGAGTGTCCGCTTCTTCGAGGACCAGCCCCAAACTATAGTCGTCGGTGTCAAGAACCAGAGCGTACGAATTCACGATCTTCGTGGTATGTTGATCATCGCTTGCATCAGGAGTGAAGTGCTAACACGTATAGATCCGAACTCAAGTGTGATGCAATTCCAAACTCGATGTAATAACAATTTGGCCATTGACTTTGCAGACACCAATTACTTCGCGTCCTCGTCCTTAGATCAAGCAGGGCTTGTCGTCTGGGACAAACGTGCATCGAGCCGTTCCACTGCTTCTCCAATGTACCTTGAATATATCGATCAAGAACCCGGCGTAGCTTGGGGATCAGCACTTACGCTGGACAACGTCATTCAAATGGAGAAAGGTGTACACATCAAACAACTTCGATACTGCCGCGAACATCGAGGAATGCTCGGAGTATTGTCATCTGCGGGCCAATTACAGGTTCTTGAAACCAACCGAGAGTATATCGAGCCTGATTCTATTGATGATGTCAAGGGTAGTCCAGAGCTACTTGAGGTTAAGAAGTCGATTGACCTGGAGTATGCCTCGTTTGATGCCAACCATCCCCGAAAGACAGAGGACCGCATAGTCTCGTTCGATTGGCTCAATCTCGGCACTCCTGACTTAGACCCACGAATCGTTGGACTGCGCGCGAATGGCAGTTTCGAAATTCTGCAGATGCCTGCTGCCAGTGCCGGTCAGCTCACTCAACTGATCCCTTGGACCGCCCCTCGCCGACGTAAGTCTCACACTATATCTCTTAGTCATTATTTACGTGCTTACAAATGTTTAGTCGACGAGCCCTATATGACCTTGATGCGTTTCAAGGATCCAGAAGATGCCGAAAAGATGCTCGGTCCACTGTACGCCACTGCAGCAAAATCAGATATCCCTGTATTTGGACCAAACGGCTTCAATAATCTTGAGGTGAAGAAGAACCTAAATGCTGCAATCCAAACAGGCATTCATTCAGGAGAAGACCCAGTCGTCAATCTATTGTGCCAAGGTGGCTCGGAAAATGAGGAAACTGCCGCCTCCGGTACTACTGAGCCCCTAGCCGGACAACTTTCAGACCTTGCCATCAAAGACAAGGCTGATAAGGGTAAGGGCAAGGAAAAAGCTGAGCCTGAAGTCAGATCCTACGGAAGTATGACGAGCCGAGAACTACATGACCGAGTCCACTATGCAACTCAGAGTTGTATTCCTGCCCCGAAGCATGTCCAAGATCGATTCGATAACATGATGGTACGTCGAGCCGTTGCTGGCTATTTGTTTGACCCCGAGACGAATGTCAAATTGCTACTTGATGATGATCCATGGCTTGTGAGAGTATGGTATTGGGTTTCATGTAAGTTCCTTCGAATTCTAATATCATGTTTTTTCCTTGTAACTAATGAATTCACGATCAGATGCTAAGGCACTCCGCAACACGAGAGCCGGCATGGTCAGTATTCCTCTTGATCTCGGATTCACGGGCGTACACTCAATATGGATGAATAAGCTTGGTAAGTTCTTGGTAACTGGTTCAGGCATTGCTGACTTTGAAAAGGCGAGAATTTCAGATCACGTCTTGTTGGTACTTCAAGCAACCCCGAGCCAGAGGAATGGGAGACTCTGATTGGTGAAATGAACAAGAAGATTGGTATTCCAGCTTTCGAGGGGGTTGATACTAAGAAGCCGAATCACCGACAGTTATGCTTGGCTACAGTTGGTCTGCTCAAGGATTCTACGGATCTTCAGCAAGACATAGAGACACTGCTCAAGAACGATAGATACACCGATGCGGCGGCATGTGCACTATTTGAAGGAATGCCAGAGCGTGCTGTTGAATTGCTCAAGAACGGTAGCAAGGCATATCTCGTATTCTTGGGCATGGCCCTCGACATAAAACTAAAGAGCAACATGACCACAGGGCTTGATTCGACAGATTGGGCGACCGTCCTCGACAGCCATCCTGAGATTTCCAAGGATCCATGCCTTCGAGGCATCTATGCGTTCATCACAACAGGAGATTGGGCAGCTGTTGCTAATGAGGCGTCACTTCCAATGGAAGATCGAGTCGGAGTAGCGCTACGCAGATTTGACGATGAGAAGCTCACGGAATGGCTCGAGGTACAGATGGAAGAGGCCATCAAAGAAGGAGACATTGAAGGGGTTGTCCTTTCTGGTATCACCGACGATTTTGTTGATATTTGTGCCAAATATGTTGAGAAATTTGGCGACTATCAAACCCCTATCTTGTTATTGTCACACTGCTCCCCTCGATACATCAACGATATTCGCTGCAACGCGTGGAGAAATGAATACTGCTCCATGCTTCACCGTAACCAACAGCACATCTTGCGAGTCAAATTTGTGCAGCAATCAGGGAGGATGAGTGTTGACAGAGATGGAGTTCGTCTTATCAAGCCACCGCCCAGACAAGTCACCATTCGCTGTCTAAACTGCGACGCCATCGGTGCCAATGACTTGAACAACACCGGTGGCCCCTCTTCTGCTGCTGCTGCCGGCACATCGACAACCACCAACGATGGGCGTAACCCATTGATGGCAGCTGGCCAAAACGCTGGCCTTTGCTGCCCTCGATGTGGTGCCCATCTCCCACGATGTGCCGTGTGCTTGGAGCACGTTGGGGTCCCTCGCTCAGATAAACCTGAGCTCTCGAGCGACCCAACGGTGCGGCGACAAGCCAAGTTCCCGCTGTGCTGCCTCAAGTGCAAGCACATCACGCACTTGGAGCACGCACATGCGTGGTTCGCCAAGCACATGGAGTGCCCTGTTCCGGAGTGCAGCTGTCGCTGTGCTGCGGAACAGAACTTCCAGCAGTAAGCGGTGGGAGAGGGAAGGGGGGAGTGTGGGGGAATTTNTGTTCCGGAGTGCAGCTGTCGCTGTGCTGCGGAACAGAACTTCCAGCAGTAAGCGGTGGGAGAGGGAAGGGGGGAGTGTGGGGGAATTTGGGTGGAGGGGACGGGGGGACGGGGGGCGTTTGTTTTTAAAGATACCCGGGGTGTTTGTTTAAGTAGTTTTCAGAGGGGTACATAGCAGAATGATACGTTGACCTACCAGATTTGAGATTTAAGTATTACGTACACTCGTCTATTATATAACTTTGCCTGCTCGTAATCCTTGTAGTCATCACTTTGTTAAAAAGTCATTTACTATATTTAATTACACGAACAAGGGTTAAGAATCAAATTATAAAGTAATAGTTACGCGATAACTTCAAGAAATACGTAACTATTTTCTTATATAACTCTCTATACCTTTTTGAAATTTACTCTCTTATTCTACCCTTTTAAATTTAATAATACTTTAGATAAGACAATTCGATATAAACTAATCATAATACTCTCCCACTAATTCTTATAGAACTATGTTAGAGTATACGATCTAGGATAATAAAATTAATTATATAAAGAGCTTTTTATTATTTAAATAGCTTTAACCTAGTTTCTTTAGAAGTTTTATTTCTTATATTTATTCTTAGTTTATTTTCGAAATTCTTTTTACTTTTATTAGTATTTCTACTTACTTTTATATTACTCTCTTCTTCTGTAATTTGAAATTAGTAACCTCTACGTCCATAGTATTAAGCGAGACATCTCCTACTAGGACCTAGCAATTACTTCGTCTCAGCGTTGTAAAAAACTGCTCAGCAGCTCGAGTACTACTCGGAGTCACATAGAGTTGAGTTGAGTTAAGTATAAGTAGTAGATTTGGCTAAGTTGAGCTGAGTAGTAGATTTGACGACTCGAATACTACTTGAATAGAACTCAACTCAACTTGAATACTTGGCGAGTTGAATCAAGTCGGCCTAAGTTCCACTCGAGTTAAATTTAGTAGGTACTACTACTTAACTCATCTCGTCTTATTTCCAACGCTACTTCTTCTGGAGATTGGTGTATGACTTCTTTTCCTTTTCTCTTAGGGTTTCCAGGAGCGGTTTCTTCGGGTTAAGAGGCACGGGAAACTTAAGATAACTCGTTAGGAGACATCGTTACAAAAGGCTTTTTCAAGTCCGAAGATATGTTGTTATAAATCCCTTTGATCTCAATAGCCAACCTCATAATATCAGACAGCTTCTGTTTTGGTGCAGAAGTCAGAAATGAAGTAAAGAAGGAGGAAACCTGGAGATCCTCGATCTTTTGAATTTCTTGGAAGCAGATTCCCCGGATCCGACTTCCTCGTTTGCTCTCTTCTCTACAACCGTAAAGCCATCAGTGTTATGAATGACTCTTTTAAAGCGGATGCCCGGACTTGACACATAGTGTAGTATTCCAAAGCCTCCAAGATCAGAACGAAGGAAACAGGCTTATTAAGGTTATCTATCGTAACATCTACACGTGTTTACTCACGTAACCTAGCACTAGTATATAAGCGTTTAGTAAGAGGTAGGGGGGCGGTAGGTTCAGAGGGTAGTAAATACCGCACTCAATCATTCATTCAAGCGGAATCTTATTTAGTGATATTATCTTCGTTGTCGCTGTGCTGATTTACACGTGCAACTCATGTAGACCCTGGAGGTTTTGAATAATGTGAAGCCTTATCTTTTCTTAATGAATGAATTATATTACTTTATCCCCGGGAAATGGGTTCACTTGACATGGAAAGGTATTTACTCGAATCATATACCTTCGATTGACTTTTGAGGAATTCAAACGAGCTCGCGATAGTACGGGTAAATGCGGCAGGGAAAAGGATTTCTACGAAGTAGGTAGGCAGTTGTTTCTCTAGGTGCACTTCCAAGACATAATATATAAGACGAACAACTCAAATATAGTCCCAAGTCAACGAAGAAGCACAAGACTTGAGCGTCCCAAATCATTCGCATGACAGTTTTAATTACACAAGTCCTTCCCTATATTTTCCACAAAGACAAGACCTCTCATTTCCCTCGCCTAACACCTGTCACCAAGAACCATTCTCATCTACCTATCACAAAAGACCCACCAGACCCCAAGTATCCGATTAATCCGTCACCCCCAAAAATAAACTACAGGTACGAGTATACGAGTATCCCCAAGCATCGCGTCTCCTCCCCAAGCCACACGAAAAGAAGCTTTCATCCCCACCCGTCCACCAGATTTCCAGAACAGAGACCCCTGGGGAAAATCCCACTCGGATGAACCCCGGGACTTGCGAGAACACGTCATTCCGAGGCACAGCGAAGCAAGCGAGGGAAGTAGAGTTTAAATCGTATCCGTCAAGGGTAACGCTTGCCGTCAGGAGAGTTTAGATTCGTAAACCTGGAAAGAATGACGTTGGAAGGCGGGTGTGATCATGAGGTTGCTTGTGAGTTTACTTAGGCTTAGATAAATAACCTGTGAATCCCAACGACAAGCAGAATAGTATAATTCAATTTTGATACAACACATACGACACCATCCATATCAAGAAACACCATCATCCCATATCCATACAACCAAACCATCCATCAAACATACACATACAAAAATGGCAGCATCATCAAACGTGAGTTCCCCAAGTGAATAATCTCCCTCTACCTTCTAGACCCCGCCACATCCTCTCCGTTCTAACAATAAAATACCCAGGCCGACGTATGCCTCTACCTCCTCACCATCTTCATCCCTCCCATCCCCGTGTTCCTGAAAACCGGATGCGGAGCCGACTTCCTGATCAACATCTGTCTCACGGTCCTCGGTTGGATCCCAGGTGTCCTTCGTATGTCTTTCCCCTCTCTTTTCCCTTCTCCTTCTCATTATTTTACAATACAAGTACTAACATGAAAACAGATGGCTGGTACGTGATCAGCAAACGCGATCCAGCGAAAATTGGCGCCAGGACGGTTGTCGTCTGAAGTCCTTGATCATACGCCCGCAAATGATGAACGGCAGATGTGGAGAGCGAGAACTATGAAATGAGTGGGTGGGCACGAATGGGGATGTCGTATGTGATGGGGGAGTTGGCAAGGTTTTTGGTAATGGGAATACCTGGGGATTGCGGGATTGCGGCGTTTATTTGCTTGTACTGTATGTTATGACATGGGACCGGCTAGGAAGGAGGCTCTCTTGTTTTAGGGAAAGGAATATATATCCAATCTCCAGCGTAACAATTTCTTGTTTCTACTCGAGTACTTGATAGAATACTCGTGATACCCCTGCAGGACATGCCCAATGAAGTAAAACCCGGGACAAGAGTAGAATGACTTTTTTCATCATATGTTACAATACATCTACACTGTACGCCGGTCCTTTTGATTTTTGCCCTCCAAGTTGTCATAAAAGTCGCTCGTCCCAATCCCACCGATCTTTCTTTAAGATCAGCAATTCATACAAAGATTAGAAAAAGGCATTTTCTCTAATAACACATTAAATGAAGTAACAAAATCTAGTTTCACTTCTTATGTCTATCGGCCTGCGCTTTTTCATGAGCAGCAATCAATTCCTTCCTAAAGCATGTATTAGCATCAATCGAATCTTCATCACAGAATAGACTTACTGTAATTGACCAGGAGCAGGACTGTAATGACTAAACTCCATTCCAAACTCTCCCTTACCCTGTGTCGCAGCTCTCAACTGCGAACTAAAGCCAAACATAGCGTTCAAACTGCAATCTGCAGTCAGAGTAAAATCCTCGGGCCCAATTTCGGTGTCGTTAATGATAGCGTTTCGCTTGTTGAGTAACCCAACAATGTTTCCTTGGAACTCGTTTGGTGCAGTGATAGTGGTTTTCATGAGTGGTTCCAGAACTTGTGGTCTACATTCTTTGAAAGCTTTGCGGAAAGCTTGTTGAGTTGAGGTTTTAAATGCCATTTCGGAAGAATCTGTCATGTGGGTTGCTCCATCGTTGATGACCATCGTCGTTCCGAGTACGGGATGACCGATCAGTGGTCCTTTCTCGCACGAAGCCATAAATCCCTTTTCGCATGCGAACAAGTACTTCTCAGAAATGGATCCTCCGGTAACTTCTTCTCGGAATTTGGAAGCGCTGTAGCCGTTTGGTCCAGGTTCGATAGGCTCCATGTATCCAACCACACGCGCGAAATCACCAGCTCCTCCGGTTTGTTTCTTGAGAGTGTGATCGAATTTGCTGCCTTGGGTGATGGTTTCTCTGTAGGCTACCTGTGGTTTACCTGTCTCGACCTCAACCTTGTATTCTCGTCGCATTCGTTCAACATAAATATCAAGATGGAGTTCTCCCATCCCTGAGATAATTGTCTCTTGACTCTCCGCATCGACATGGACTCTGAATGTAGGGTCCTCTCTTTGGAAACGAGCCATAGCTTTACTGAAATTGGAGCCATCCTTGCTGGTTTTTGGCTTGATTGACAGAGAAATGACAGGATCAGGAACGAACATAGAACTCATGGAGTAGGGAAGATTTCCGTCGGTGAAGGTATCTCCTGATGCACAGTCAACACCAAATACAGCACAAATTTCTCCGGCTCCGATTTCTGGAACTTCCTCCATCTCGTTGGAATGCATTCGCACGATGCGGGGAATCTTGACTCTCTTGTCATTTCTGGCGTTGAAAACGTTCATTCCCTTTCTCATTGAGCCTTGGTAAACCCGAATATAAGTCAGCTGTCCGTAATTGCTTTCTTCAAGTTTGAAAGCCAAGCCAACAAATGGAAGAGAGTTGTAGGAAACAAGCTTGACTGGCTTTTCGTCCTTGGCCTTGTCCAACGCCAAATTTTCGACTTCGGCAGGGTTGGGGAGGTAGTCGCAAACGGCATCGAGCATAGGTTGAACAGATTTATCTGCCAAAGCACTTCCCATCAGTACTGGAGTGAACTTGAGAGCAATGGTGGCTCTTCGGATAGCTGCCTTTATCTGTAATGGAGTTGGGATCTTCTCATCCAAGAATATCTCAGCAATTTCATCATCGACATCAGCCAATGTTTCAATCAACATTGACCTTCTCTCATCGACCAAATCTTTTAGTTCCGGTGGAATTTCGCTCGTCTTCCTGATTGTCTCCCCTCGTGGTCCATCGTTATAGATAGCTTGCATCTCAATCAAGTCCACAACACCGTTGAAACTATCCTCCGTTCCGATGGGTACTTGTAATGCTGCAGCCGGGATCCGGAGTTTCTGATTGATTTGGTCGACTGCCTTGAATGGATTGGCGCCCATTCGATCCATCTTGTTGACAAAACTAATTCGAGGAACATTGTATCTTCGCATCTGTCTGTCCACGGTGATGGTCTGACTTTGGACTCCACTGACTGCGCACAGAATCATGACAGCTCCATCCAAAACTCGCAAAGCTCTCTCAACCTCGATGGTGAAATCAATGTGTCCAGGTGTGTCGATCAAGTTGATATGGTATTTTTCTTCCTTTCCATTCTCCATCTTTTTCCAGTCGCAGAAAGTGGCGGCAGACTGAATTGTGATTCCCTTCTCTCTTTCCAACTCCATTGAGTCCATCTTTGCACCAACCGCATCTCTTCCTCGAACTTCGTGGATCGCATTGATTCGGCCAGTGTAGAATAGTACTCGTTCGGTGGCTGTTGTCTTTCCACTATCGATATGCGCTGCAATACCAATATTCCTAATTTTGTCTAGCCTCCCCTTTTCCACCTTGTCCAGGCCTTTAATAATTTGTTCTTGGGTTAGGGATGACGGAGACGAGGCTGCTTGCTTAAGACTGGTTGCATATAATGTTAGTATATTTTCTTTGGATAAGTCCAAGCCGGGATTCAATGCGCCGGGTTGTCGAAATGTCCATCCTCACCCCCAAACTGACCAAGATTGGGAAAGAAAGTACTCACACAGCCTCTGCGGCGCCAGCACGTATACATCTCGTCTCGGAGAAGAATCTCTGAGCTCCCTTTCCTCTTGCCCCAAAAGTAACACCGGCACCAAGAGCCCGATTCGATGCATTTAAGCACAAAAACCGAGGTCGCCTAGCGCTGCGTAGGGCACCAACTGATGCCTCTGTCGAAGCTACAGCTCTGACAGTTCTGTACATCCTGGTGGTTGTTAAATAAACTTATATGAGAGGCAGATTGGCCGACGAGCCTCAACTTTTTTTGCCTGGGCGATCCCCACCACGTGCCTACGTGCCAGCCAGTCGCGTTCCCCAATTGCTGGACTGCACAGTATGTAAGCATACACCACATATATCCGTAACACCTCTTGCCCTTCAGGCCTCAATACAACAATGCGCGGACCTTAGAATACGCTCTCTGTATGCGCATTCTATCCTTCAGATACTTGCGACGACTAATGAATCGCTTTGGAGACCGTACGACATGACCTCGCCACCGCCAGAGGAAGAAAAGGTCGCGGACGAGCATGACACCCTTAGGTATTCTCTTCTAGGGCCTTCTCTCACAAAGTCCGGACAAGACAATGTAGATCAGCAAAAGGTGTCGGAAATAATATACAACGCGTCGAAAGGGTCAAAGTACTTTGAAAACGAGAAATCAAGGTAAAATGTGACGGGTTGGTCCTCATTCAGTGCTTACTGACTCAACCGTCTTCCAGAGACAAAAACCTGACCCAGAAAATCGAGCGTATCCTCTCTACAAAGAAACAACTGGAGAAACTAGACCTCGCAAGCGACCGTCGAAAAGCAGACGATTTTATTGCCGAACTCGAGCTTACTCGCGATCTATCCCAAACAATCGTTCATATTGATTGCGATGCTTTTTTCGCAGCTGTCGAAGAGCTGGACCGTCCGGAGTTGAAGGACCTACCGTTTGCTGTTGGAAAGGGAGTTCTTACAACCTGTAACTACCATGCTAGGAAATTTGGCTGCCGGAGTGGGATGGCGGGGTTTGTGGCGAAGAAGTTGTGTCCACAGCTGATACAAATACCCTTGAATTTTGACAAATATACTTCAAAGGCACAGGAGATTCGTGAACTGATTGTGGACTACGATCCAAGATTCGAGAGTGCCAGCATTGATGAGGCCTATCTGAATATCACGGAATATTGCCAGAAGAACGATATCTCCCCTGAGGAGGCTGTTGAGCAATTGAGAAGGGAAGTTCATGAAAAGACAAAAATCACCATATCGGCTGGAATTGCGGCAAATGCCAAGCTGGCGAAGATCTGTTCTAATTTGAATAAACCCAACGGACAGTTCATTCTTCCAAGTAAGCGGCCTGCGATCATGGCATTCATGCGAGATCTCCCAACCAGAAAGGTAAATGGAATTGGACGAGTCTTCGAAAGAGAACTAGATGCGATTGGGGTCAAGACATGTGGAGATATTTACACCTACCGCCAATTTATTTCAAAGTTGTTTGGTGAAAAGGCTTTTGCTTTCCTGATGCAATGTTACCTTGGCCTAGGTCGAACCTCAGTCCAACCAGCTGAAGAATATGAGCGAAAGAGTGTTGGCACGGAAAGTACCTTTGGAGAAATGAGTGACCCTACTCAGCTTCGAGAAAAGCTTCGCGCCACAGCCGAGGAATTGGAAAAGGACATGATTCGAACACAATTCAAAGGTCGAACTTTGTGCCTGAAAATCAAACTCCATACCTACGAGGTCTTTACTCGTCAAACAATTCCCCCAAAAGCAGTCTACCTTGCCGACGACATCTATAAATTCGCCCTTCCTATGCTATCAAAGCTTGAACATGAATTCCCAGGTATGAAGTTAAGGCTTCTAGGATTGAGATGCACCCATCTCGCTAGTATGAAGAAACCAGATACGATGGCTTTTTTTGGCTTCAAAAAGCGTCCAACACCCGATTCTCCGGAGGTGGGAGAAACAATGTCGCCGCCCCCGAAACGAAAAGTAGAACTCTTATCGAATACTACCGAAGAAGAGGAGGAACAATGGCAAAAATGGCCTGACGAGCTCCTATTCGAAGATGCTGAACGTCAAGAACGAGAAGACGAGTATCAGGAGCTGGAGTTCCTCAGTCAAGAAATCGACAAGAGGCGCCATCACGGGAAAGAGATACTCCCTAATCCCACACCCAAGAAAGTGTTGGAAGAGAAAGAGAGTAGGGAAGAGAGTATTGAGGAGGAATGGTGGGATTGTCCGATTTGCAATAGGCCCCAGGCACAGGATGAGAGGAGTTTTAATGAGCATATTGATTTATGTCTGTCCAGACAGACTATTAGGGATGCGGTGCAAGAAAGTGCTGATAACGACAGAGCGAGGGTGGTGGTTAGAGAAGCGACACCCACAAATAAAAGGAGGACTAGGAACGAGAAGAGGGACAAATCTGGGAAAGTGGGGGATCCTAAGCAAAGGCGTTTGTTCTTTGGGTAGCGAGTGGATGATGGTTGTATTTATGATTTGGTGCATTTTCAGGTTTGCATAGGGATCGGAGTACTTGAACAAGACATTCGGCATAGGGTATTGTAAGGCGTTTGGAGGGATCAGTAGGATAGAAGTTAAAAACCAAGAGCCCATTTTCCAAAAAAGTCAAAAGTTTCAATTTCCCACGGTAGAAGTAAAAAACAAGGTATCATTCGCCCGTAATCCTAATCCGTGCAGACAACCACCACCTCAAAGAGACCAAGAGGAAGAAGGAAAAATCCATTATCCATACTCCAGCACAACTAAACTCCCTCGTGATCCCTCAAATCTTGGTATCTCCATCACGCCAACTTTTCATAAACCCCCCTTTTTCGACGAAAACCTAAGCACCGCCCTCTCTCTTGGCATACTCCTCCTCCATACGTTCCTTGTACAACTTATCCGCCTCACTGTCCTCCTCATCCTTCGCTGGGCTCGTGGGATCTTCTTGGAGGATCCCCTCTTTCACGAGGTCCGAGGGGTTGGGACGGTGCGAGATCTTCTCGTTGAGGGTGTCTACTTTCATTTGTTTCTCGAGTTCGCGTTGGGGGCCTTGGAGGGAGGGGGCTGCGGTGGAGGAGGGGAGGATGTTGCCTTTTTGGAAATTAGTCCGTAGACGATGGAAAGGGAGAGGGGGGCAGCTTACGTTCGATGAGATCTTCTCGCTCGGGGCGGTGTTCTAAACCCCGCTTGAGGGAGTCGGTTGCTCTTTGACGCTCGAGTTCTAAGGCTGCTGCTTGGAGAGCTCTGTTTTGGGATTAGCATGCACATACCTTTTCTGCTCCTCATCTATGGAGATCAATCTCTCAAAGAGAACGAGATCTAAACCCATGACCGAAAAGGGTGAGAGGGCGGAACTAACGGAGCAGCATTGATATCCAACAATATATGCCTATCCTTCAAGTCCTTCGGATCCGGTCGATGCGCCAACTTCTTCTCGAGAGAATTCTGGCGAACATGTTTGGGTTCCTGAATAATGGAGGTCTCGTCGACGAATTCGTTGGAAGCCATAATTTATTTCTGCTTTTCGGAGGAGGTTTGGAGGTTGAGGTATTGTAGGTGGTGTGGTTATGTTTACTTTCCTGGATTCCTGACTTTGACCCCGCTTACGCATACAATGGCGGATTCGGTCGCCGTAGTAACCTGATCCGAATTCTTTTGTTGAATCGCCACGAAATGGATCGCGATTATACAAGACTTGTTTGGGATATTATTTAAATGCTTTTGACTGCTCTAGTATGTATTTTGTGCTTTTCGGATGGTAGTTTATTGTTCGAGTCAGGGTGAAGTGAGTACGGGCGACGATTACGCTGCCCAGTGCCCCTCAAACGAAGGAATGATCAAATAACATTCGTTGCCATACTTAAATCTTTTACAAGTAGAGAAGTTACACATTTCATGAATTCCCATGATCAGATATGCTTCATAGATCTGCCTACTACGAATAATGTACCTCTTTCTGTTCTCATAAAATTCTAGTTCGTCCGTTACATAATCAGTTGTAGTGTACTTCGTCTACGATTGAAGGCAAGCTACTAATTGTCAGGTATTAACGAGATTTTCTTCAGATTTGAGTAAAACAGGGAATTTCATATCAAGTCTTCAAGTAGTTTTGGGGCTTGTCGTTCTAAAGAGAAATAGATATCCGAGAAGACCTGTTATGAAAATAAAAAGTTGAGACTTTCTAGCTCACGCATTGTTAGAGGCCTATTCATTACTCTACACACATTACCAAAAGTCATCATGCTAAAAGTCTACTTCAAGTAGCTTAATTATCCAAAGATATGTGGGTTGGTCAAGGAACATCCAAGTCGATCATTCTAAATTAATCTTATAATTGTTGCAATTGTACGAGCCTTTCTGACACAATGAATTCTCAAGAGGAATGTGTAGAGCAATAACCAAGTCTCTTACATTCGAATTTCTGATCAACACGGGTTGCAAGTTGTAGTAAGAGGTCGCTTTCCTAGAATCTTTCACAGGCTGATACAATGATAATAGATGGTGTTGGCCAAGTAAGAATGACAGCTCAAGCGAGCCACGATGAGACATTGAAAGTCGCACACCACTTTACTACTCTAAGGGTTCTCATATTGCAAATTTGTTTCATCGTCTAACCCTTTCGACTCTTGATCTAGCGAATAATAAGTCCTGATTGTTCGAAAGGTATCCCTTGAGAGACACTACCCACCGGGTACATTCTCATTTCACTATACTCTTTAACACTACGCATCTTAACATTTTATTCCCATGCCAATCCATACCTCGGAACTTCTCATTCTCTGTCTCTCTTTCCAAGACGACACATATGCAACAAGAGCTTGAGATAAGACTAATCAGAGGAAGACATGAACTGAATTTAACCGAGCGAAGAATCTGCTGAAAGCTTCAAGAGTTGTTATCCATCTTCTAGTGTACTTTAAACTGCGTCGCACGATGCTTGAGGCCTTGAAATTCAAGGCACATTGTTGTTCGAATAGTGACCATATTTTCCTTAGTGTCTTAAAGTGTAGAGTAAGACGAGAAGACTTCTCTTTTAGGTAGCCGAATTCGAACAACCTAAATAGAAAGACCATTTACTCATCAAGCATCCACCATCAAAGCGCCCACCCAACACACTCAACACAATAACCAGCAAGGTAGTACACTATACAGCAAAAAGCTTCTCTCTACCGCTTTTCTCAAACACCAGGATCCCACCACACCCCCACCCTCCCAAATTCCCCCAAGGCATGGAACCAAGCTTCCCACCATATCCCAGGCCCTTAAAAAGGCCATGCATACCGCCATTACCAAACTTTCCACCGTCATCAATCGATATCCCGCAACACCCGGGCTTAATATCCGAACCTTGCTATAGTACTGTACATGCCAATCGCCCTCCGATCTTCTGCATGATAGAGTATCTACAGAATCCGCATCCATACACCATCATACATCTCAATTGCAAAAAGAAGAGGAGTTCCACAGGTCCACATACAGTCCAGTCCAGTCCAGTCGAGTAATAGAAAATCGATACTATACGCCTGTGTACCCACCCGCATGGCCATTTCCGTACCTGTACGTATGTAAAGTTCCCACCACCACCACCACCGCCCTTCAAAAGCCGTCCTGATTTCTCACCACACTTCCCAACATAGCAAATTTTAACTTGCCTACAAATTTTGCACTAGCAGATTGATGACCCAGAAGTACACAAGCCCAGTCCAATCCCTACCTCCTCCCTACCTCCCCATTTCCCGGGTTCACCCTCCCGTGCCGCTCCTTCTTAAAAAAGGGGGGGAAGGTGAAACGACACCCACCCCCATGGATCCATACTCTTGTACTACCACACCAAGTGCACAGTATCGCTCCTTTCATCCTGTAAACAATTCTACATCCAAAACCTCCGATCTACAAACGACAACCTAAAGGCTAAAGCCCATTCACGAATACGAGAAACATTACAGTATCAACATCTACTCCCCATTCGCAGCTCTCAATCTCTTTCACGCCCTTGATTTCTTCATCAACGGGCATGTTTTATTTGGTAAATTAACAGCCCCCCCAAAAAACGCCTCGTTCATGCAATAGGGCCGTTCTGGAAGTTCTTTTGCTTTCTTCTTTCGCATGCATACCGCGTGCGTATTCATAAACGAGGTAGGAAATGTTCTTTGTGGGAATATGCGGTATGGGATATGTACTGTAATGTGATGTAATGCTCATGTTGTGTTTCGCTTGGTATGGTATGAGGACTTTGCAGGGCCGAGGTTCGAGGACATATTCTCTGTGTTGTGAATAAGGAACGTGATATTTTGAAGTTGAGGAGAGAGAGTCTTTTTTTGCTGCATTGCCAAGTTTTTATTCTTTTGAAGTCGAGACTCGATATAGGCACTTGCCTAGTTCAAGGTAAATACCAAACTACCAGACGAAGTAATCTGACCCGCCCAATTATACGTTTGTAGCTCTTAAATGAAGCCCATGTCATGTTCCAGAGGGGTCAAACAGTCAGAGTGCCGTACCAACATGAGAATACTCAAAGACTGAAAGCGAAAAGTTGACTGACTGCAGTAACATAAACAGATTGTAGCAGGCGTCAAGGTCTCTTTAGATCCCTCCATTGTGTGATAATCCCAAGTATGAAAATTTGAAAGAAGTAACTGAATAGCAAAGGTATCTCGACTTCCCCATAACCAAATGATGTACATCCCAACCACCCATTTTGAAAGAACTCCCAACAGCCAGCCATCCAACGAGCGTATTTAGATGCATATTCTCCACGCAGCGGATACTGACATCGGAGATCAAAACAGACGAAACCTCCTTCCTTAATCCCTTCGCATAGTGCGTCCCAATCCATTTTCAGATTTTCTATTCCAATTCATATCCATTTTCATACCCTGGCCCTGCCATCCCCAATATGGCTGGATCCTAGTCCCAAATTCACATGGTATCCAATGCAAAACTCAACCAGGATTGATCAAAGTCCAACCCTCTCGACCGGAACTCCATCAAGATAGCCATGTAAGTTTTATTCGTGCTCTTATACGATTCCATCTCCTTCCCTCTCGCTTTTGAGCCTGGATTCTTCATCAAAAGGATCTTCAGATCTTTCAACATTCGTTCCCCAACAAGGAGAGTCATTGAATCAACAACTTGCTTTACAGCTTGTGACGACATGTTAGGCGCGAGGTATTTGTCGACATATGCTTGCTGAACCAGATCCCGAAAATCTGCCCATTTCTTCGAGTGAGCCGTTTGAAGGAACCAAGACAGTGCGGGCTCGATTTGTCGTGGGGAAATCGTCGAACATGCTAATAGAATTGCTTTCATCAAAGAAATTTGTTCGAATTCCGGGATATATTGTACAATCTCGTCAAACAAGTTCTCCTGCGGCGGGGATTGGGACTTCCGATCAAAGAAGAAGAATTCCCAATGGTTTCCAATCAAAATGGACCGGACTTGAAGTTTGAAGCCTCGAAGATACTTGAACCTTTCCATCAAATCGGCTACAATTGTTTGTGCTGAGCTGATTGGATCTGCTGCCGGGGTTGGAAGAGATTGAGGGGCGGTTTGAATCCAGAAATCGTGGGGCAAGGGACTGAAATCAGGACTCGGAGAGTCGCTTTCAATCGAGGGGATAGGCTCTACAAAATGTTCGTTATTGAGGACAATTATGTTAGCTTCCTCAGTCCATCCTTTCTCCACGATATCGCCTGCATTTTCATCGAATCCGTTGTGGCAATCCATTGGTTCGTCGTTTGTCATGAGGAGATATTTGTGCCGACATTCATCTGCGAGCGTCAGACGCCGTAAGGTCCGTTGGTCGTCGTCGTCAAACTCATCTCGTTCGATAACCTCCAAGGATTGTTTGTAAAGCGATGGTCGAAGATCGAGATTTTTATCTCGACACCCTTCTAGAATGTTGAGATAATTCTGTCTTAGTTGATCGGCTTCGAAGCGCTGACATTCGTTGTTCAAAGCCTCTGGCATCGCTAGAGCCCTCAATCGCTTGTGAATTTGTTGTAAGATACGCTCAGCGCAAACCACTAGAGCCGCTGTGACGAACAGTTCACCAGCGTCTTGCGAAGCGTTGTCATACAGCAGATTTTGGACACCCTCCCAATCATTGCAGTGGCACGCGTTATTCCACAATATCAACCAGGTTGGGGCTTGTGAATTTCTAGTTCTACCAGTCAAGCAGAGACTATTTAAGAGCAATTTGCCGACTTCGAGTTGTTCATTTGGTGGTACATATATTTCCATTAGTTTGAAAAGTTGCGGCCGGCGGGTTTGGGGACAGAAAGTCCATTCGCAATATGATGGAGTCTTGAGAAGAAGTCTCAGAACGCGGACGTACGACCCCCCGGCTTGCCATTTCGTGAGTAAATGTTCAAGCGCCTGCGGATTTTGTGGGAGATCCTCTATGAAGGCTAACATTTCGGTGGATGTCATTGGACCTTCCGGTGGAATCGTATTGTGTGATGCTGGCTGTAGCACATGATTGAGATCGGTCGTTGGTTTTGGTTGAAAGATAGAAGGTGGCATTGGAACAAGCCCTGTTGGCATTATTTGAAAATTGGAAAGAGCATCGGGCGGCAATGGAGTCACTATTGAACCCACTTTCATGTCGGGGCTTGTTTTTGGTGGCACGGTGAAGCTCTCTTCTGCTTCGGGAAAATCCTCTCTGGGTTTGTATTTTCTCAGTGCCCATTCATCGATTCTCATGCGGTATGCTCTCGTCCTGGTAAACATTAGAACCATGGTTTGTCATAAATTCGGCAAAATGAGACCAAACATACGAAGCTTGAAATCCATACTGTTGGTGGAGAATCTCCTGGACTTCCTTCAACGTTCGACCCTCATCAATATACAGACGTGCGATGGCAGCCTTGTGGCGAAGCCAGTCTTTGGGCATGCTTTTAGATGTACTTGTACTACCCCTGGAGAAAACACAATAGTCGGAATTTCATCACTCGAGAAGCCAGGTCAGCATTTCAGCCGCCTGGCAGGCTGAGAAGGGAAGGGGAGGATATAACCCGGTGAAGGGAGCAAAAGGAAGCAGTGACAACAAATCGGGGATGGTAATCGTCAGACCATTTTGTGCCAGATAAAGGCATCTTCTGGGTCAGGTTTGGGATGGATGAGATGAGATGGGTGATATTCTGTCCTACAGTCCCACGGCCCTCATTGTTGCTTAGCAAGGCAAGAGCAAGGCAAGAGCAGGGCAAGGCAAGGGCAAGACTTCCCCGGGCTGGGCTGGGCTGTACAGGAGGCAGGAGCAAAGAGAAAGGCAGCAGCCGTTTGGTTTGGCAGAGCATGGAGGCATGGAGGCACGGAGGCATGGAGGTATGGAGGCATGGAGGCATGGAGGCATTGGAGGGGCAGCTTCTTGAGGCATTCAGTGGAGAAGGAGCGATGCTGAATCCGGCAGGGAGAAGGACAGCGCGAGGGAGGCTGGAGCTGGAGCCAGCAGAAGGCCAGCGAAGCGGTAGAAAAACGAGCGGAAAGCAGGCAAGTGGAGGCTTGCTGCTTCTAGCTGCTGGTTGAGCTGTTCTTGCGAAATTCCGGAGTCGGATCCGATTTGCATAGTCGATACCGATATGTAGTACCATGAGTTCTTGCAGAGACGGCGGAAGCAGATGCAAAAGACCCGGCTTAAGCGAGAGACCCCGGTTGCAGGGCTCTGCGGTTGATGGCAAAAGCGGCAATGACGACTTTCACAACTTTCTTGGTGAAGTTGGTGAGGCCAATCGCCGCCCCTGATTTTGCATCCATCTGGCTTTCTACTTCTACTTCGCACCGCTGCCCCGTCCGAGCCTGAGATGTCCAGTTGGTCCGGATGGCCATGGTCCATTGCTCCATGCTGCCAGAAGGCCTGGCATAGAAAGAGCCGTGGCTGCTGCTTTGATTCTGGATCGTGGTGGCCGTAGCTACGGGCTCCGCTGCACGCTGCACGCTGCACGACCAGCATCCAGGAGACAGGGAAAGCGGAGGAGATGATGAGATATCTCAGATATCACCAGGGACCCTGAGACTGAGACGGAGACTCTGAGCAGATGAGCAGAATCATCTTCTCCATCTCCCATCTCCTCTCGGGCCCCAGACCTTGCCTTCTCCCTCAATCGGAACGGTTGCAGTCGAATAAACAAACATAAGAACAATCCTCCGTACGGCCCGTCATCCGCGGATGCAGCTGAGTCTGCCGTCCCATCATTCTATTCGTAATATTTGGTGTCTCGTTTCTTGCCACGACACAACACGACAGGATTACTACGTGCACCACGTACTGACGAGAACGCCTCCTCAACGCCCCTGCTACGAAGTAAAGTAGACTCTAGAGACGACTCCACCACACCTTTCCCTTTCGCAGCGAGATCGACATCATCATCATGGAGCTTGAGTCTTGACATGCGTCAGAAATTATGGAGGAAGCGCGAGGAGCGCCCAATTGACTCGTTTAGGTCTCGTGCAGCTACGAGTATCTCGCAACCCAGTGACCCCACCCGTCTCTTTTACTTGTAGCATTTCCCCAGCCTACTGTAGCTCAGCTGCTCCCGTCCAGGGTTCTTTATGGAAATTCCTGCCGAGGTCTTTGCAGGATTCTTACGGAGTATACAGCCATGCCTACTCCGTCCACGTACAGTTCGTAGTATGTGTGTGGTGTGTGGTGTAGTGTGTGGACTGAATCCTTCCCACCACTTCTATATCGAGACGAAGACTGCTAAATCGTGCATGTTGCATAGAGGTTACACTACACTCTCTCAGTGCCGGAAAACCATCAGAAAAAACTTGGCCTCTTTGGTGCATCCATCTGGCCCATGTCAGTATAATTCATAAATCCGCAAGGTAAACAATAGGCAGATCATCTTTTTCATGTTGTCTGCGGGGACCCATTGCATTGCAAAGGCGGTGGTGCCATGGGCCCTGGGACGGAGAACTCGTACTCAGACATATTGTAGATCCAGATATCGAGTATGCGGGCGGGAAATTGCGGCATCAAATCGAATTGGATCGGTGATCGTGTCTTGGCATCAATCATCAGACTAAAACTACTCTACAAGGACAAACTAACGTCTTGCATTTCAGTCAGGTCCCGAAGTTCGTAAGGCACCTCCCCTCAAGAATCCACTCTGTCCTCTTTTGGCCACGGCTGTAACTCTGATCAGCTCAAAAAGTTTGCACATTTTTCTGATAGCAGTTTGTATAAGATTACCGAACGTTGGCTTCAACCCTTCTATGGCATGCGGCGCATTATGACCAAACATACTTGGTACGAAATCCTATTTGAGGACCAGAAACCTATGCCATATCACCATGTGTTTGACACGTGAGATCACTTTCTTTTGATTCCTGGGCAGCCTGGGCAGGGCCTTCGATTATTTTCCTAAGCGCCCATTCTGCAGACTCCTGTTGACTTACTCATCCGTTTGTCTCGCTAAAGAAAAAAAAACCCTAAAGGTGAACCGAGCAACGAACTCCACTACTCGGTACAGAACCCACAAAGGCACTTCTACGCCGGCAGTTCCAAAATAACCTTCAATATTTCGACCCTTGAACCCTTCAACACATCACTACCGTCGATCGACGTCTTGTTCCTTGAGTCTCGACAACAACAAATCAATAGCCGAATTACCTCACCAGGTCTCGTAACCACCAGTCAAAAAGTTTCCATTACAGAATCAGTATGGACACCAACATCCTAATAATGAATTTTTATCACCCCTAGAAAAACAGGGTTTCCCAATTTTTTGCAAACACCAACACTTCCCCATTTCACTGTGGAATTTCTCGGCGGAAAACCCAACCAGAAGCTCGCATACTTACGTTCCACAAAAACCCAAACATCTCCAACAACGGCACAGACATCAAATACCCAACAAATGCAGCTGAAAACGCAGTTGGGTTGGGCCTCTCTTTATGTCAAAGTTCCACGATAGTTGCACGGGAAGGCCGTACGTAGTAACGGCCACGATCCCGAACTTTCCAGTCAGATATCCTGCTTTCTCGGGCCGTGGCATGTCCAGCCGTTCCCGTTGAAGTGACGGTCCCTGCCGCCCGTTTCGTTTCGTTTCCTCGTGCGGAGTCTCCTCCGCTGGGAACCTCTAGTCTCCAAATGGAGGATTCGCTGGTCTGGATGAGGCAACGAGAGACGCTTATTCCGGTCGAATCAACATCCCCCACGCCAAGCGACGACGTGGGATCTAAGGTTCTATTCTGACGAGTCAACTCCCTCTGGTCTGATAACGGGGCCTCCGTTGCTGAAAGGGGGTGATCGACGTACCATTTTTTGTTGAGGTATACCCTTTTGAAAATTGCAGGAGAGGAATACTCGTAAACTTCCTTGCTTTCGCATTATCTCGATACTACGGTATCATTGAGTAGGTAGTTGGCGTCTGTCTGTCTGTCTCTTTATATCAGCACGGGAGATGCCGTCAGTGTCGAGTTGCGAAGCCTCCGTAGAAGTACTAGTGGCGTGGTTTATGGGTTTATGCCGGCCGGCTGTTGGTTGGAAAAGCTGAGGAGTGCGCGAGTGCGGGTAGATCCTGACTGGAAAAAGAAACGATTGACACCTTCTCGGTGCGAATACGAAATGGGAAGCGGATGGATCCGATGGATGTCTAGATGGCGGATGTGATAGATCTGAAAGTCTTCGCCACATGCTTGGAAGATTGGAATTTGGAATCCCATGTGATGATTTGGATTGTCTGGGTAGATATGATTATAACCCACATAGAACACTGAGAGAAGTGGAATTATACATCTCTTTTCGGAAACAAGGAGATACCATGAAATCTTTAGGCAGAGCCTCAAGATGAATAAGGGAGCCTTGAATCCTAACCGAGAGAGTTTAAAACAATCCATTCCTCTTATGCTGGTATAGTATCGCTACCTTAATTAGCGAGCTTCTAACATCCACTTCCGCAGCGCCTGGCACGGTATTTTGAAGATATATTTTCTATGACTTAATCAGCTCCAAGGTTTACACGCCTACAAGGTTGAAGGCACTCTGCTACTTACTCAGAGGTATTTTACACGAAGAAGTACCATATACATGCTGCACACTGTCTAGCAAAATACTGAAAGCGAGATTATTTTAGTATACTTGTACGTAGCAATGCTTCTCTTACACACCTCCCTCTCTTACAACAATATCATCCTAAAAGCCTCGCATAACTAAAAGAGCCACACAAAGGGGTCAGAATGACTATCACCACTTGTCTTTTTATTAGCGTGGGTATACCACAGTCTACAGCAAGGTAATCCTTTTCCTTTTCCTTTTACTCATACAGTGAACTAGAAGTTTTGCCATTATAGATAATGTTCAAGAATACAGAGTAATGAGCAGGAACCAAGAAAGACCATGGGTAATACTAGGGGAGTTGAGAATACAGGAAATTAAGTTTTGAGTCTCCTAAAACAATAAGTTGAGGACAATGACCGAGTCGTCTTTTAATCAGTAATTTGACTTGTAACTCTGCTACAATAAACTTTGCCTAACTTAATACATCAATTCCAATGTCAGTATCTTCATCAAGCGTGAAGTTAAAGACCCACCAAAGCGGTAGATATGCCAAGTTCTCCAGTAGCAGTAAAAGCAATATTATTAAGCGACCTCAGTCCTTGTAAACACTAATTCCCAATCCAAATATACTCCTACCCTAACGCAACACGTACGCCAATCCACGAAACACCACCAAGACGCCAATGCTAAAACAACTCGCCACCAAGCCCCTCTCCAAAACGAAGAAGAAACCCAGGAGCTCACGCCACCATATACTATCGAAAAGTTTGTCCCGAACGCCAATATCAAAAATGACTACCTAGTTACTTTTCTTCACATTTATCCTGTCCGAGGACTCCTTCGTCTTGCTGTTCCTTGCGCCAATATATTAACATTCTCCCTACCCTCTGCTGGAAGCACTCCTGCGCTCTTCTTGCCCCTCAGAACAGGGAGCTTTCCGATGCCCGTCACGCTGCGTTTGAATAGCTCCTGTGTATCTTTCGAGAGACCGTCACCGCCGAGGCTATGGGATTTTGCTGTTGAGGGATGTTCAATAATGGATGCTACATTGATGTTGGGGTCTATCTCACGGAGACTGCCACTTGTTGTTGGCCTGTTATCATGAGATAATGGCGGTACAGAGGCAGAGAAATCACGAAGGGGTGCAATCTCTGTAATGACACCTTCCATCTCGTCGTCAAAAGTAGCCGGAACTGTGGTGAGCTTTGATGTGTTTTTGGAAGGAGAGCTCGCTGGATTGCGGAGTGCAGCAAGCAGTTTCTCATGTTGTTCTGTTCTTGGCAGTTCGGTGGGATACTGGTATTGCACCTTTTGGGGTGTTGCGCCAGTAGGTTGGTACTCGGCGAATCTGGCGGTGGCAATGTTGGATCGAAGCTCTGCAAGTGGTTGTCTAAGAACTGTTTCGAGGGGTTCTAGTGCTTCTTGTAGGGAGTTTTGCTTGACAAGCATTTCATGCCCAAGATCCCTAACTCGTTCGTAAGTAGCATTGAAGTGAGTGCCAATATTATCGTAAGATGATTTGACAGTGGACGAAAGGTTGCTCAATGATTGAGTATGACTATCATGGTGTTGAGCATTTTGAGACCGAGCTCGTGTTACAAAGTCATCAAGAGCTTGCATTTGATTTGAGATATCCTTCATCTGTTCATCGACAATACGAACGGTCTCTTCGTGAACAGACTTTGTAGAAACTTGGAGTGATGAATTATGTTTATTGGCAGCCTATTTCAAGTTAGTAAGCATAACGCCAGGCAGGGATCAGAGAATTTTACCATCCAGTCTTCCTTAAGTTTAGATTTGAGTGTCTCTCGGGAGCGGAGAACTTCTTCAACCAAAGCAACTTCCTTGGCGTTCCAAGCGTCCATCCCTAAGCCATACTGTGACTGAGATGCCTCAAATGCGTCCTTTGATGTTGTAATGTCTTGTCGAACAGCCTCAATCTTCTCGCCCAGACGGGTATCTTGAGCTTCACCTTGAGCCATCACCAGGCTGGTGATTTGCGATAGCAAACTTTGGCGATCTGATGCTGCTTTCTCGCGTTCCTCTCGAAGTACCTCGTCCAATCTCACAGAGACAGCGTCGCTTGATTGAGTAGCAAGTTCACTGGCAGCTGCCAATTTTTCACGCAGGCTGTTCGCTTCCTCTTTCTGGGCGTTGACATGTTTGAGCAATTCTTCGAACAGGGACTTGAAATCCCTGCCAAGCGAGCTATAAGAACCGTGAAGCTAAGATAATTAGTTTTGTACATGAGTGTTAATGGAGTCTTCTTACTTGAGTATGGAAAGCACCCAGCTCACTAATGACCTCTGCGGAAATTCGCTCAGCTGCAGCTGAGAGGCCTTGGAGACCGATACCAACTTGATTTTTGACCTGTTCTCGAAGAACCTTTATCTCCTCGAGCACATTATCCATTTCTTCCTTTGCAGAGCTAGTCTGCTGGGCAACTTCCTTTTCAGAACCTTCAAATTCTGCAACATTAGCTACGAGGAAAGATTGCGTAGACGAAAGTTTTTGCAATTCTCCTTCGACAAATGACTGCATTCTCGCAGATACCGCCGCCATCAAGTCTTGTTGTTGCGTCCGAAATTCTTCAACTCTATTCTCAACAAGACTGGTAACCTCTGATACCTGTGCTTGCGAAAGCCCCCAAGTGTTTCGGTTGAGTGATTGAAGGTCAGATTTTCTCCTGTTCTTGTCGTGAAGACCTCCAACATCATGAACGGTTTTCCCGAGTGTCGAGATAAGCTCGCTACCGACAGTGCTAAGCTTTTCTTCTGTACTTTGGTGAGCCTGTCGAAGGACTTTCTCCTCTGCAAGACTTTGGCGAGTGTTATTCAGGACGAACTCTGTCTGATCAAGGACACTTTGTGTTTCGTCGAGAACGACTTTTGTACCCTCGTTTTCCTTCTTCAAATTCATGAAACTAGAAGTGAGAGAGTACAGCTCCTGGACCTTATTACGTAGGTTTATTTCCATTGCCTCAATCTTCGCTGCTTGTTCTTCGCTAAGAATCCGTCTCGATTCGCCCTCGACCTTCATCTCCTCATAGGCCTCGTTGGAAAGGTATACCCCGTTGCGTTGTCGAGTTGAAATGAGTTCACTCTTGAGTTTTTCGATCTCAGCAGTGAATTCCTTCAGTAATGTCTTCTTGTTGACCTTTTGGTTCACCTGGGGTTTGTTGCGGATATTCTTTGCCCGAAATGCGTAGTCCAGCGTCGAGATAGTCTCTTCCAAATTGCTCTTCGCAGGAGAGACTGTTGCAATAATACAAGTCTTTGTTCTTCCCCCAAGAGAGTCTTGGAGAAGTCGTGTGAGCTTCGATTCACGATATGGAATATGCGATCCACGATCCACCAAGGCATTGATTACTCGTCCTAGTGTCAATAAACTCTTGTTAATGAGACCTGCTTCCGCTGCTCGCTTGTTCTCCGCTCCACTTCGCTGGATATTTTCGCTCCCAGCTAAATCGACAAGGTTCAATTTTCCGGCACACAGGTAATCCTCACCGTCGTCCCCAGTTCTCTTGATGTATGCTGTAACGGTAAAAACAGTGTGACTTCTACTGCTTAGATCGTTGCATTTGGTGGCTGCAACTTGTCTTTTGTGACTGCCCTGTTGTAGTAATTTGATGCCATCCACTGCGCTCTGAATGTGCGACTCTTCCATTCCCTGAACCAACGTAGTCGCATGTCCAGCTTTGCTCTTATCGTCGTAAATCTTCAATTTCACATTGTCATCGGCAGAAATGAGGTCACGAAGTTCTTCGTTGTAAAGCTCAATAAAGGAGCACTTGACTGATGATTCTGCATCATCGATTTCAAGTTTTGTGAAAAGGGAGTGGAGCACACGAGGGATTATACCCGCTGCGTCAGATAGCATTCCATATGTCTCGTTCATGTCCCCAGACATGGTGTATGTCTTTCCAGTGCCGGTTTGACCGTATGCAAATATTGTGCAGTTATAACCCGCAAGCATCTACCAATGTTAGCACAAAAAGAAAGAGCTGAAATTGAGCAACCTACTTCGTCTAGAATTGGCGTTACAACATCATCGTAAATCATGGCTTGATCTGCAGCCGACGAAAAGACCTTATCGAAGTGGTAGGTCTTGTTACTGAGCGCACTTGGCCCCATGGAAAGCTCCAAACTGGTCCCTTTCACACCACCCTCGGTCGATAACACCACTCCACTATTCTCTCGTACTTCGCGCTCATTACGGCCTCTACATCGAACGACAACATTGATGTTGGTTTCCTCGTCATCACGATCATAGTCCATCTTCTGACGTTTTGCTCCTCCTTGCGTGGTAGCTACAGAGACGACCGAGTTTGTTGGTGAAGTGGCCCCGGACCTGTCCATTCGAGAGGGCGGAGCAGCCGAACCTGCTCTCATAGTCGGAGGTCTTGGTGGTGGTCGCATGCTGTTTTTTCTTACAGGCGCAGCTGCTTTGGGTCTGGGAAGTCCTGCCATTCGATTGCGTTGGTGTGTCGTATATCCTTGAGGCCACGCGCAACTTCGAAGTGCGCGTCACTGGACTCGAACTTGGTGTGTGAATTATGAAAGATGAAATATGAATTGACAGGCGTCGGGACTGTCAGAATTTGATGAGTTTAGCAAAGGGGACTCAGGGCCGCTGGGTGTTGTTGTCGGTGTCGATGTTGGCGGTAGAAAGTGTTGAAAAATATTTTGGAAAGTGCTGTCAGTGCCCTTGAAAGTTTACCACAAGGAGAAAGCGCGATTTGCGGTCATCTCGTGGTTGGCAGGGCAACCAGTGACCGACAATGGGACTGCCCCTCAAAGCGGCCCCGCGCCTTGGTCAGTGAGTGGTCACCTGCAGCATGACATGACCATGACCTCCAGTCCCTCAAACTGCCTCCTCATGGAAGCTGTGGAGGTAGAACATTACGACAACGAACCCTCAACTCGACTTTGAAGCTTTCTACAGATGTGATCAGGATGCCTCTCTTTACAGCGCAGGTTCGCCATGGTCAGAGTCTTGGTTTTTTAGGTAAACAGTCCATTTCCCCGCGCCTCAACCCCTCTTGTTAACACCCTTTGTTCAGTCCTTGGAGCTACCCTCCACGATATCCTCACACGACTGAAAGCCGAACCCCAGAACTTTCCCAGGCTAGACTTGACTTACGACCATGCGGCGCCAGTCACAGAACCTGTGGTTCTCGAGCTTCCATCCAACGGTTTGCGACTGCGATTCGATGGGCCGGAGCAACGTCTACGCCTGATCGAGGTTCTCGATTTCACCAAGAGCCATCTTACATACAACGATAAAGACGTGCTGCGGCCGGCACCAGCGAATGGAGCAGGATCGCCTCCAGTTGCGAGTGCGAGCGGTCCTACATACAAGTACATCTGCCAGAGACTAGTTGCGCCGGCATTCCCAGGCGAATACGTGGAACCGGTGCCTGGAGATGAGACGGGAGTAGGCCACTACGTCCTTTCATATCCTGGTCTTGCTTTCACATTTCCGATAAAATCCTCTTCTTGGTCGCCCGCGAAGATTGACTCTATCTTAAACTCGTCAGTAAGTCCTCAGGCTTCGTCTATGGCGATATTCCGAGGCCAGTCGTGGCCGGCCGCTCGAGAGCATCTCTATACGGAGATGGTAGATCCCTCGGAAACATTCACTGCGTTATTCAGGAAGAAGGAGAGTGTGCCTGCTGAAGTCCGAATCGTGAAGATTTATGGAGAGGGTCGGCTCGAGCTCGTTCGATCATCTTCACACGGACCGGTTTGGCTCCAGCTTGGTCAAACCACGCCCCAAGAACTGGTAGCCGAACTCGGTCCTCCAGATGCCATATATCGAAAGAGCGACCGTCGAATGTCCATACATAAACCTCGGCGAGGGACCGGGACTCCAAATAGACCTGATATGAATGACTTGAGACTCCAGGACGATTCTACTGATACTGACCAGTCGTCCGCGCATACCGCCACTGACGACTCGGACGAAGAGACGGAGGAAGGGGAAGTTGCAGGAAACTTATCGGGAGAGTGTTTCTATAACTACTTTTATCATGGCTTCGACATTCTAGTCTCGAGCCCTACTCCACCATCACAAGCCCCGCCTTCAAAGAATTCTGTTACTGCAGAATCTGAAAACGTGCCAACAGATTCATCGTCCCGTCTAGTTGCTTCAAAAATAATACTCCATGGCAACGTACCAGGATCATATCCATTCAACCGGCACCGAAGATGTCGGTGGGAGATACAATATCTGCAGCCAAAGAAGGGACAAGCTATAGTAAACTCAGAAACCCCTTTCAAGGACATTGAGAGCGGGCTCCATCACGAATGGAAGAGCATCTACAATAATGAGGAAGAGGCTAAGGCTCTGCAGCGTGGAATGGTGCTGAATCGGGACTGGGGTGATAGTCCAGGAAGCAGTTGCGAGCTTCTAGGTGGCTGGGAGGACAGTGTTGGAGGGAAAAGGCCTGACGCTGTTGCCGCTGGAGGTGATGATGTGAAAGGGCTTGGAAATACAACTCTTTTTGGATTTCCTGGTCTTGTTTTTGAGGTGTTGAAGAATGGTACGGTCAGTGGTGTTACGGTGTTTTGAGGTTGTGTAGGGGCATTGGATACGCATGGTTGGGAGGGTTTTGAGCATTTACTCGGTTTGCTCGTTTGGAGTTGGGCGTGCAATTTAGACTGAACTCGGTGGCATATACCTAGGTATCATTAATACCAACATAGAAGAATCGCATACTCGATTTCAACTCGTACTAGAACACAAAATCCCTGCCTGAATCAGCAAGTGTCTGCCCCGCGTTCATCTTGCGCTCCCAAGAAGCATTGCCGAATTCCATCAGGGTGAGAACATTTACCCTACCATTAGCCACTCATGGCTCAAGTCCCCCCTGTCGCACTTCGCTAATCTATTCTATCATAGGTGACGAATCACGCTGCGACATCACACCCACAAGCCATTGCAAGAATACAGGATTCATATGCAATGTATTAAATTCCCAGCTTGTGACCCTTCAAGCAAATGTTCGAGTCTGATTGCCGAGAGATGATTAAAAGCTTAGCTTTTTCCTTCTTCGTTACTGATTATTGTACTCTTCTGGTAATCTGTTTTCTCCACCTTGAAATATTGCCCAAGCTTTTTCGTAAGCTTGTACGACCTTTACTACGTCTCTGCTAAGGAGATTTGTACCAGCTGGCTTCTTTTGCGGTCTGCGTTTAGGGAAAATATGAAGTTGTCCCTTACTCTTGTGGGACTTGGGTGTCTGTCGAGTCAGGTTTTAGCCAATCGCGAGGGCGACATCATCGAAGAACATTTGGGGAAGAGAACTGCGGTTGGTATTGGCTGTACCTGGTGCTCTGCCGGACCATGGAAAGTCAATGAAGGTAAGATTTCATTTCCTTCAACCCATGTAAGAATCTATGAGCTCACATGAGATAGCGTGTGCTACGTATGAATACTCGGCTGTGGCAAGTAGTATGAGAAATCCGTAAGCGAGCCGTCCTGTCTGTATAAATGGTGGTAGATGAGAACTAACGAAATTTGGGCCATCGACTGTTAAGTTCGATGCGACGGCTTTTTGCTCCGAGTTTTTGAGACCCGTTGTTACGCAGTTGTCTGTGGTTAGTGTTACGAGTCCAGTAACGACGAGTACTTCGACGGTTATTAGTATTGTCACTTTTAAGTCTGCTTCTACAGCGTTAGTTGTTTCTGTCACCCACCCCTTCGTTTTCTCTTCGCTCCTTCGCTATCTGAAAAGCCGAAAGCTTGTTCTCGAAATTTGCATCGAAGTATCGGAAGCATTTTTCTCTTTTATCTTTTGGGTTTCTTCTCTCCATCCAAGTTGGTATTAATATTTGCAGTACACCTTCCCCAACAACGAAGCCCGTAACCCCCAAGACACCAGCTCCCCAATTACCAGCCATAACAGCAACGCCCAAAAAATATGCGGTACCCGTCTTGAAGAAGCGAAGCTTTACAGTTCCGGAATATTTGGAGCCCTGGTACTTCTATGGAAGGTTGGATCCTGGGTGTAGCTGTTTGATCACAAGTGCGGCGCCCAGTCTGTTGGTTAGTGCTACGGAAACTACCACGGCTTATGGGATTACTGTTGTGAGTGTTTATTCTCCTGTTTGATTTTCAGGAGGGGGGTGTGATTGTGCTGATGCTTTTGCAGAGTACTACTGTTACGGAAGTGTATACGATTTATCCTGATAGATGAGATGGAGATTGTGAATAAGAGAGTGGGAGTGGTATTGGCTCTGGTGTATTTAACTTTGTGTGAGGCGTTTCTAAATAGACTCATACTGCCATGAAATTCTAAATGATGCTACAGTGATGATAGTTGGGTAGATATAGAATGTTGTTGATATTTGGTAAGTAATTCAATAAGTATAGCACTTGGAGTTTATCCGGAGTTCAGAAAGATTCACGCAAGCTATCTATTCTACCGAACTGAACCATTTGCATTAATTGATTTGATTTCTCCAAGTACGTCAACTTCTACTGCGATTTTGAACTCAGGATATTCAAGCTCGGGTGCACGGACCCTAGAATTGGTGGGCAACAGCGCGTCTCCCCAGATTATCTGAAAACCACCAAAAATGCGACAGCGGATCTGAGATCATGCCGGTACGTCCTGCTGTATCTTGGTCGTCGACTTTGAGGCTGCCCAAGTCCTCATTCCCGTAAGCAAATAACGAAACCTCTTCATAGTCCGATCATTATCCAATTACTGAAACTTCTTCAGTCCTCGACCACTGCTGGCAGACCAAGGGAAATATCTCAAGCGATGTACCGATGACCTGTACGAATGGCAGAGCCACGAGCGCTCTGCCCAGAAGCCATTTGTTCTCCATGATGGGCCACCCTATGCCAATGGGAGTCTGCATATCGGGCATGCGCTGAACAAGATCTTGAAGGATATTATTTGCAGGGTTAAGATTCAGGATGGTATGTGATGGAAGAGGTGCTAGAGCCGTTCACGCGCTAATGCCTCTTGAAATCCAGGTCGGAGAGTGGTTTACGTTCCTGGCTGGGATTGCCACGGTCTTCCTATCGAAATTAAAGCATTGGAGCAACAGCGGGGAAACGATAGTACTGGGGAGCGCCAGTTAGACGCAGTAGGCGTGCGGGCTGCGGCTAGAGAGCTTGCAACAACGACGGTGAAGCAGCAAAAGAAGGGCTTTCGAGAATGGGGAGTTATGGGTGATTGGGACAAGGCCTGGAAAACCATGGACAAATCATTCGAGATCAAGCAACTGCGTGTCTTCCAAGAGATGGCAAAGCGAGGCCTCATTTTCAGGCGCTTTAAACCCGTATACTGGTCACCTTCCTCGAGAACGGCATTGGCGGAAGCTGAATTGGAATATAATGAGCAACATGTTTCTACAGCGGCATATGTCAAATTTTCAATAACAGAAATTCCGGAGAAATTGCGAGCAAAGCTGGGGGAATTGAAGAATATCCACGCCATAGTTTGGACGACTACTCCTTGGACCTTACCAGCTAACAGAGCAATTGCTATACACAATGAGCTGGAATGTTCCATCTTAAAGAGCGGCTCAGATCACTTCTTGGTGGCCAGTAGCAGGGTTGATGCGATCAAAGAAGCATGTTTTGCGGAAGTTCCCCTGGAAATAGTAGTCAAGTCAATCTTGGGTCGGGAACTGCAAGGAACGAAGTACATTAACACGCTTCGAGGGAAAAAATCACAACCTCAGCCTTTAATTCATGCAGATTTTGTTTCTGCTGATTCTGGATCCGGTATTGTCCACATGGCTCCAGGGCATGGTATGGATGACTATGAAGTTTGCACTGGTCTTGGAATAGAAGCTGTTGCTCCTGTCAATGATCTAGGTTGTTTCACAGAATCTGCTTTTCCAGATGATCCCTCTGCATTGGCAGGACAGCCTGTGCTTTCCGGTGGTAGCCAAGCAGTTTTGGGTATTCTGAATGACAAGGTATTGGCAACTCACAAGTATAAACACAAGTATCCTTATGACTGGCGAACCAAGCTTCCTACCATTATCCGGGCAACTGAACAGTGGTTCGCAGATGTTGGAAATGTTAAAGAAAACGCTCTAAGATCTCTGTCTGATGTGAAATTTATTCCCGATGCTGGAAAATCTAGACTTGAGAGTTTCGTCAAAAGCCGCAGCGAGTGGTGCATTTCTAGACAACGCGCTTGGGGCGTCCCTATTCCAGCACTATACAACGAAGATGGTGTTGCAGTCCTCACGGATGAAAGTGTAGCCCATATAATTGCAACTATCGAGAAACGAGGTATTGATGCTTGGTGGACAGATTCTCCTATCGAACCAGCTTGGATTGCACCTGGGTTGAAAGGGACTTATCTTCGTGGCAAGGATACTATGGATGTCTGGTTTGATAGTGGGAGTAGTTGGACTCAGACGTCTGGGCAGGCTGATGTCTATCTCGAGGGTACAGATCAACACCGAGGATGGTTTCAATCTAGCCTTTTGACTCATGCAAGCGCATCTGGCAATACCTATGCACCTTTCAAAACACTAATCACTCATGGCTTTACACTTGATCAGAAAGGGAAAAAGATGTCAAAGTCGATTGGCAATGTTATTGCGCCTGGTCAGATCATGGATGGATCCCTACTCCCACCGGTAAATCTTATGAGCATTGTTCTGAAGAAAGCTGACATTTTTAGGCCAAAGTTAAGAAGAAGTCAAGCGGCCCCATATCTCAAGCTCTTGGAGCAGATGCTCTGCGTCTATGGGCCGCAAGTAGCGATTATACAAGAGATGTGGTGGTTGGTCAGTCGGTTCTCAGCTTCAACCATACTGCGTTGCTCAAGTACCGGATGACCATCAAGATGCTGCTGGGGTCGATGCATGAATCTGCCAGAACTGCGCCACGATCAAAGCTCGATGAGATCGCTCTTCTTCAATTGAAAAACGTCATGAGTGAGGTTAAAACCGCTTACGACAACTACGAGTTCCACAAAGGCGTGAATGCTATTAATAAATGGATTGCAAGTGACCTTTCTGCATTCTATCTCGAAGCCATGAAGGATCGACTTTACTGTGGCGATGGCGGGGGAGTGCTAGAGAACATATTCATTGGCTTGATGAAGATGCTGGCCCCTATTACCCCAAATCTCGTAGAAGAATCTTGGGCTCATCGGCCAGAATGGATGACAGCAGAGGATCAAGATCATCCTGGGCGTCGTCCATTCTTTGAACCCATCACTTCTCCTAGCTCATCAACCGACCAAACAATTTTCACACCCGCTCTCTTGAGGTTTCTCTCCATTACAAATACCGCCGTCAAGTCGGCGCAAGAGGAAGCAAGAGCAAAGAAACTCATTGGATCCTCACTCGAATCCTCAGTTCTTCTAAGCCTCCCACCTGGCGTGCAAGGATACTACGATCAGCTCTCCGACGAACTGGCTAGTATCTTTGTAGTCTCCAAGATCGAAGTCATTCCTTATAACGAAGAACCAACAAATGCTGTAGCATGGAAATTCCCCGCTGAAGTCACATGGGGCGACGACGCGGCGTCACAACCTTGGAAGTTATGGGTTGTTCCTGCAGAGGAATACAAGTGTCCACGCTGCTGGAGGTTTGTAGCGCCAGTTGAGAATGAGTTGTGTGGGAGGTGTGAAGAGGTTGTTGGAGATGTGAAATAAGGATCCTACCTACGGCTGTGTATTTGTATGTAAAAAGAGAGATGTGTCACGAGTATAGATACCCTACTATCTTATGAAGAAAGATTCTTCTCCCTGTCCCCGCGGCATCCAAGATTTGTGCGAGCTGAGGGTGTCGAATCTTCTTTCTTGTCGTCGATTGCTTACTTAACTCGAGTGCTCATTGAGTTAAATAAAGGAGGGGAGGTCTGAAACTACTCGGGTTAGGTTTAAGTGCCACTACTCGACTCAACTCAACTCAACTTAATTTTCACGCTACTTGTTGTGTTGGTATGGAGAAACCCCGCCATCATCTATGGGGGTGTAAATTGGAGTAACACTAGTCGACGCCTATCCTTGAGGGTGATATCAAGGAAAGGATCTGGAATTCTCCTTTCAGCTCTTTCAGGAATAAATTCTACATACAAAACAGCGTAATCAGCAGTCACCACAAAACTCGATGTATTAAGAAAGATTCTTTGGTAGAAGCCTGGAATTGTCCATGAGATTCCGTCTATGGTATGTCTCGCTTTTCTTCTTGATGTTGCATTACATGATCAACAATTGCTTTTTGACAACTTAGGTATCCAGTCTATCAGATCTCTTCTGGTGGAGTATGGTGGTGGTTGCCTCGCCATTCTGAATTGGTTGGAAATGCGATGCGAATTCAGAGAGTCGATGTGGACAACGCGGACATTTTCTTGGATTCGACTTCGCGCTTGGGGTATGGCTAGACGAAGACGACGAAGAGGAGGAGGAAGAAGACCGAGAAGGCGAAGAATAGGGTGTTGGGAATGGGACATTGTTATCAGCGAGTTCCATTTTGCAGAGGGGAGCTCTTGGTTTGTATAGAGTTCTCGTTATTTTGCTGAGTATCTTTTACCAAATGGGGTGCCACGCAAATCAGAAATGAGAAATATTGAGGGTGAGGTGTGCTATTTGAATAATCACCTTTCAATGAATCACGTTGAATGCATGTTTTATCACAAATAAAGGAATGTCTATAAAATGCGTGAATCACGTAGAACATTCAGCGATTTACATGTCTTCTGGTCATTGGTTCCTTCTACTATACAATGACCTGTTCACTGTTTCATTCTGTGCGTCCGCCGACCACTTCCACTCAATCGTCCTGCCCATTGCATCTTCTAAAAAACAACAAAGACAACTCATTCTCAGACAACACTGTGGCTACCAAACTCATGTTTCAGAGCTTCTTCCTGATGAAGGAATGTATCGTCAGATCTTCCTCGAAAGTCCAGTCTCCTTGCCTCTTCATCAAACTACTGCCTTGTATCATAACAACAACTTAGTCTTTCTGCGTGCCAGAAACTTCCAATCCTGTGCTTTCAGAAATAACTGCGCGCAAGACCTACCAAGGGCAAAGCTCATCGCGAACAGCTTCCAAGAGGATATTATTTTCCGTAAGTCTTCAGATGCACCACAGAATTCCATACTGTTTCCTATCCTTCACAAGATCGATTCATGGCGAGGGAGGTCGTTCGGAGTTTTCCACATTCAAACGCCAATTGTTGTACATTCCCATATGCACATATTTCTCACTTTCTTCAAGTGCCATTCCTCTCCAATAATTCTCCAAATCACCGATCGGGGTATTAACCTTTTTGTAGCCAGGACATTCCATATTGTAGTTGTTCTTCATCCAGGAATATACCACGTCACGGTGTTCACGTGCCCCATAGTGTCGTGGAAAGAGCTGTCCATGAAATACTCCATGTAGGAGATTTTGAGGGTACTGAGGATGATAAGCAAACGAATAAGGCTGTCCTCTTTGAGGGTTGTTGCTGCTGGAGTAGGGTTCCATTCTTCCTTGTGTAGGTCTCGCCATTCTGGGAGACCGCTGAGAATTGAACGTTCGATCTGCTATATTATATGTGTCAGTTCTTTGCTTTTAGGAAATGTGAGATCCACTAAGATGTGAGAGAAAGCCATACCCTCTTCCTGTCTCCTCAAAGGAAGACTCATCCTTCTTTCCGCTCCTCTTCCTGGTTGTCTCAACATGTTGGCTGTATTGTTTCCTGTGTTTGGCGAAGGGTATGGAGGGCGCGCCAACTGTGCTGGCATTGGAAGTAAACCTGGAACTCTGTTTGGCGAAGCGGAAGATACTACTGGTTCTTCGGCTTGTGTAGATTTCGAAGCTTGCGCTGGAAAAACCCTTTGCCTTTGATTTCTGTTTGGAGGAGGAGGATTCCAAAGACTGCGAGTCGGTGCTTGTGGTGGTGGATTCTGTTGCGGAAGTCTATCCATATTCGAGTCGGTGATGTTGTAAACGCGTCGCTGAGAATGATTTGGAGTTTCTTCAATGCACACAGTACGTCTCCAGTTGCGGTCCATCTTCTCCGATGTTGCGCGTGCTATGGTTGTTCTCTTTGCTATGAGTTGGATGTCGGCAAAGATGGCGCATAGGACTGCGAATGTTTCCGATAGTGAACTGCCTTTACTAATATAAAGGTCCAGGTACCCATAAAGGTACAAGTGAGTGTTCCCCCCTGGCTTTGACCTATTATTTTACGTGTGATTGTGGCTTGTTGGCAGTGAATCAAACGTGGTTCACCTTGAGTAAATCGAATGTTTATTTCTCGGCTCGCGACGTTTGTCTCTTAAGGCACACTTATTATTTTCCAGAACACGAGAATGATGTGATTGAAAATCCGCGTTCTTTCTCTCGCTTGAAGATTTTGGAACATTCTTAGTTTCTTTGACTAATCTAGATTGGTCGTAAAATGATGCAAATAAAAAGATTTACCTTTCTAGTTAGCGACAGTATGACTTGCAAACAGTCTTACGACTATAGCACGATATAGCTCGTTTACAACCTTTACTTATACAAGCCGATTATTTTTCCAACTCTGAGGTCTGGTGTTGATTAGCGATAGAAGTTCGGCAGAAATATCCCGACTGTTTTCCTCTCCAGACAGTTGTGCTTCTCCCATATCATTTGTCCTCTGATTTAATTAGGGATACCGTGACAAATGCACAGTAGGTATGCTTCTAATCATACATGAATCTGCTAACAGTACTCTATTCATCTCTCAGCATGGTAATTTCATCTTTTTCCACGAGCTACACGAGAAATCTCTTGAGTACAAATGGTAATTTTCAATTTTGCATCGGTTGGAATAGTGTATGTAGTCCAAGTAACGGATCGGAGCTAACTGGAAGCCGTTGATGGAACTTGGTTTCTAGGTCGATCTGCCAGGGCCCGGGTAAAACAGTTCAAGTTGTGATGTGCTAGTCCATTAGCCTGTGAGATACATCAATAAATACAATCAAGATTCTGACTTGAAATTTGCCGTACTGATATTTTCATGTTTTTGCAAAGACTACCCAGCTTCCAGTTTCGTAAGAGACATGATCGTTACTCTGTACACACCCCTCTTAGAATAAGATTATTCTAAAAGCGTCGTACAATTAAAATAGTTATATGGAGAGTTTAGAATAATTGTTAACTCTTACTTTTCACTAGTCTAGGTATACTAATTTTCACTAGTCTAGGTATACTAAGACAATTATTTTGCTTGGACTACAAGTTTAGTATAATAGAATTTTGTATAGTATGTAAGATAGGCGGGCATTACTCTATACACACTATTAAAAATCGTTATACTAAAAGTCTAGCACAACTTAATTAATTGTCCTATTTTACCTAGGTTAATAAGGAGTAAAGAGTATTAGTTATTCTAAACCATTCGTATAATTAATGTAGTTGTGTAAGGCCTTTAGGATAATGCTTTTATAACTCAGGGGTGTACAGAGTAATGCCTGCCTCTCTTACAGAGTGAAGACCAGGTATCCTACCTTTTCGATAATTTTCTCTCTGGCCAACAGCGATCAGCACTTGGAATTCATTTCTATTCTATTGAATGGAAAAGAGGAATGGTTGTCAAGTATTATTACATTTGGAAATACTTCTGGAAGGCTCCAAATTCCATGGTGTTTATGGAATTACAAATGGAACCGGGCACGTGACCTGCAAATAGCTATTACAGTCTGCTCGACCAATAAAAACCTCAGAACGAGCTTTGGCAACGGCGGTACATGTGTATTTGGAATATGAAACTGTCGCGATTAGTAGACAGGGTAATATAATTAGGTCTAGGTAATAACACTGAATGATGTTAGAAATTCTAAGCGGAATCGTCTCGAGTTTAATAAGTGTCTACTGGCCTAATTTTGTGTAAGATACAGTACCTGGTCGTTACTCCGTACACACTAGATAAAATGTTATTATACTAAGCTTCTAGTACAAGTCAGATAATGATAATAGTCCTAGGCTAATAAAAAGTGACGAATAACAATTACTCTAAGCTCTTTATATAATTAATTTAGTTGTTCGACCTTTTTAAACTACTTTTATTTTAAGAGAGATGTGTACAGAGTAACGACCAGGTATCTTACTAGGAGGGGACCACGCTACCACGCGTGACTGGTTAGTTCACCATTTATAACAGTTACTTACTATCTCACTTTACTTTAAATTGAGCTCTCTTCGTAGTCGAAAAGTAACATATATATCCTCTGGAAATATGGAAAACCAGAAGGCTCTTCTCTAGAAATATCCATTCCATATAATATTGTCTCTGGAACGTGCCATATGGAATGGAATACCGAAAATTCCATAAAATCGTCTTCCAGATGTCGATGGCTGCTAGAAACTATAACATTCCGTTCAGTTGGGATCCGACAGCAGCTTTGAGGTTGGCTATTGACCTCCGTCCTGGACAAGGGACCTGAAAATGATGTCATGTTTGCCAATTTGCTAATACTCCAGTGTCGATTCACCAACTCTCGTATGAGTTGTTTCCAGTCAAATTCCCTTGATAATTACGTATGTGAGGCAGGAGAACTTGCAAAAAGATTCAGGACAAGCCGAAAAAACTTCACTTTGATTTGGTTGTTAGTTGCTATAGAATTCATACCTACAAACTCCTTGGAACAACAACAAATTGTTCCCAAGATTGAAACGAACAAGGCGCTTGTTCAAACTAGCTGAGTCAAATTGGCATGTCATACGAAATTTTTACAACAATCAGACCGATAGTGCTGGAAGAAAAGGCATGATCAATCAAGTATTAATGTATCAAGTCACATGAGGTCACAATTGATGATGGGAATAGTGTTCAAGCGAGCAAAAATACAGGTCCCAATGGTATCAGCTCCCCTATACATCGTCCCCAATCCTCCCTAATCCCCCCCACTACCCCCCGGATACGAGAATTCTGCCTTGCCGCTACGGTCCATCGCGGACACCAAACAGGGGTTTCGGAAAGACCCTAATAATCCTGAATAGACCGGTCAGAAACCGTGGCGACGAACATGAAGAAATAATCGATCCAACCACTCCCCTCATCCCGCTGCCTTCCCGTCCTTTCCGTCACTCCCGTTCCCGTACCCCTCAATGCTCAATACTCAACGTCTGCCAGTCTTCAAGCACCTGGGGCAGTTGCAAGTGAATCCGTACTGATAGGGGAAATCTTGTGGCTTGTCAGAGTAAGAGATAGTGATCTCTTCTCCTTCCCTGATATCCTTCAAAACCGTGAACACCAAGAGGTTTTTGTCCTTGTAGAAGAAGTACGAGCAGTTAGCGTGGGGGTGGCATTGGTGGTTGAACCGCGATGACTTGACGAAGATACCAGTTTCGCCTGGCTCGGAGTACGTTCGGAATCTTCGAAACGGTCAGCAGGATCTCTATAAAGTAACGGGAGCGAATACGTACCTGTTGGTCCAAAAGATACTTTGTGCTATGTTCTCCCAAGTAACGCCAGCTTTAGACCAGGCGTGCAAGCTCCGGTAAGTATCTCGTTGCTCCCCCGTCAACCCCTGGTACTTTTCCCAAAATGTTGCGTCCGTTGCCAGAAAAAGAGGTTTCTCGGTCATAACGACCTCTCCTTTTTTTATGTCCTTGATAGCAAAAGCACCCAGTCCGGCGCCCTTCGCTTCGCGTACCTCAAAATACTTAGTCGAAAACCTCGGGTCGTGATCAAGTTCAGCAGCAGGAGATGCAAGATCCCAGTGTTGACTTGAAATGTTGACCATCTCTAGAGGAAGTGTTGCAAGACCTTTATCAGGACTTGGAGTATTGACCTTCCCTAGACGAAGTGTTGCAAGACCGAATTGAGAACTGGAGCATCTGCCTTCCACTGAACTGACCACTTCCCGAGGTTTACGATAAGTACTTTTTGGTATTTTCTTCGGCCGCTTAGAATATCGCTAGATCAGATTAGCGAAAAGGTTAAGGCATTCAAAGGTTACTGAGGTTCTAAAACGCACCTTGTACCAATCATCCACCAGTTTTCTGTTCCCATTCCGCCAGGATTGGTAATCTATGGCAGAATTCTCAGCCATGACTGAAGCAATCATTTCTAATTGTCAGAATTAGTTGATGGGATCCCAAAAGTTATCTCTAGTAAGCCTTGGCTTGAGTGCTTGTGAATAGAAGACTTGTCAATGTTCTGGGTTGTAGTAGTGCCTCCGCCAAATCCCGCACGTCAACCCATCCACAATGGATTAGATGGATATGGAGTGCTGAAAAAAGTTTTGTTGAGAAATATCAGAGAGATAGTACGTCGTCCTTAGGGCAAGACTGACTTCAGGGCCTTTGAGAACACAGAACTGACTACTCCAGTTGGAGGCAAAAGCGAATTGCAGGTTCTAAGCTTTCTCGTATGTTGTTGGAGAGACGATTAGAGTTATCCACCGAGCTGGTTGTTCAATGGCAGTTAGGAACGTCGCTGTAGCGATTTATCAAGCTGGTCCTTAGAGTTGTGTTTCTTGTTGCTGTCTGCAAGTGGTAGAGATGAAGGTTGGAGAGAAGTTTCACAAAGAGAGTGAAGTGTCTTCGCTGCAACCTGCACAAGTACACACGTCTCTAACCCTGAACCTTGTTGTTTCCCAATACCCCAGTTCCCAAGGATTCTGGTGAAGCGATGAAGTATAAACAGAAACAGAAATAGAGGCAAGATTCAAAATTGAAAAGCTTTTATTACCAGTGTTCTGAACTGGTACTTCGTCCCTCCAGAAGTACTGGCAAAAGTGAAGCTGATCAAGACCAGCTGCTGCCAAATGGCCAATTAAATTTCTGCAAGATGTGGTCAGTGAATTTCTTATTAAATCAGGGGTTTGCCCCCTTTGCTACTGGTACAGAAATTTCGTTGCACTATGGAGCATAAGTATCTTAAAGATACTATCATCCAGAGGATAAATAAAGCAAACTGATAAACGTTTGTAGTTCTGAAAGCCTCCCAACGACAAACAACGTTTGCTTGCAAGCTTCTTTCCAGCTTGTGGTGGTTGGCATCCAGGTTTCTTCTTGTCTCTTCTGATTTCGTGTAGTCGCTGTAGTTTTCATCATATGTGTTGTGTTGTGGTACCAACAACGACAAGGCAATCAAAATAAGAAGAGAAGAATAACGCCTCTACTAAAGGAAGCAGATAGACAATCACTTACTCGTATATTTTGACTCTTGTCTTCTTAAATGTATGTTCCTCTCCTCCAGCGCCTTCAACGTGTTTTGCAGCTCGTATCAAAGACTCGCAGGGGCTGAAGTAGCAGTTCGCCATTGAACGTTGGGTTTGGCGACAGGTCGGTCCAGAACAAGTCGGTTCAGATAAACACAGTGCACATGTTGTGATGGAAGTCAAATGTCCCTGACTAGCAGGCGCCATTTCAAGAGGCAGGAGAGATGTTTTGACGTGCAAAAAGAAGTATGCGAAGGATGATATTTCAACAACCAGAAGGTTGTTGTCAGAGTTCAATGATATTTTGAAAATGTTAGGCCAAAGAAAAACTCTAAATAGAACTGTCTGTCGGCGACATAATGTCGCACTTTCCTCCGAGTTCAACCGAAATTAAACACGTGAAAGATGGGCTACGCTAGTAAACTGGCCATTAGAATCGTACCTGCTGCTCATAGAGCCTGACAGCCTCAAAGCGGCGTCAAATCTTCTGCTGCAAATCCACCTCTGACATCTGAGACTGGCCAATAACAGCCTTGGGTTTCTCAAAATTGCTTGACGCTGCTTTCAGACCCTTGAGCAGTAACCCAAGGTTCAGACAGCTTTATGCGTATTTCTGGTTCGTGCCTTCCTTTACCGCCGTGCGCTAGATGAATCAGCATGCATTGTCCCGCTAGAATGGAACGCAATTTATGAGTACCTCTCTAATTCTCGCAAGCCACTTCATCAGATGTGGGAACTCTTCCATGTCCTTTGGAGTGATGAGGCCAGTATATCCCCAACCATTGATCCAAGCTAAAGAGGTCTTTTCAGCTTACTTCCAAAATGAAAGAACTGCGATTTTGAACTTACGCCAAAGCCCCATGTCAGCAACCGAATACTTCCCTTTGCCCTTGCCAGCAATATATTCGCGCAGCTCCTTGGTGTACTTCCCAGACAAGTGGAGTTCAAGTACGCCATATATCCGCTTAGTCTCGGTCAAGAATCTTTCGGTCGCGACTGCATCTATACATCAGTCTTGGTCTTCTAGCTTTGCCTCCACAGCCTACATTTGTCCTGGGGGTCTTGGGTTCCGAAAAAGCTCAATTGACCTTGGATTGGCCCTCCCTATGACGGATCAGCACTCTCGCGATACGGACCATGTTTTCATCATGGAGTTTTAGCAAACAGAGGTTCTTACACCACCATGCCAAAAGAAAAGCCATTGCAAACTTTGCGATTGCTCGAGCGAATCTTCAAACCCGAAAGCGTTCTCGGGGTCATATTCTTTCTGGATGTAAACAAGTTCGGCAGATGACTCCATGACAACGAATGGCTCTTTCTTGGTGTTGTCCACGATAATTGGGATGCGACCTAGATCATGTTACCTCTACTTCCTGATCTGAAAACACTCTTGGTATAGTGAAACGCAGAATTTCTTACCATTGGGACTCATGGTCAAGAACCAGTCACTCTTTTGAGCCATGGTTTTGGTATCGAGTATGGTGCAAGTAACTTTGGTCGTGTCAGTCTCATCCTTCGACGCTGTCGGTATGCTGCTGTGTTTCATGTACATTGAAAGCCATATTTTGCTCGCAGCTCTTCACATAAAATCTGTACCTTCTTCCCGTTGGGCGTATTCAGGGTTATCAAGTGTAGCCCCTAGATCTGGAGTCATTTATTGGTCGAATCTCGTGTGGGAAGCCAATGTAGAATGGATACCTTTGCATTCTTTATATCTGACGGGGTGTCTTGGTGGTAGAAGCTTGCAGCCATTTTCGAGAACTTTTACTGATACAAATCCTCTAAAAATGCGTTCTATAAGCTTCAGGAAGAATCACAGTAGTGGGATTCTTTTTTCTCCGAGGTCAACGCTTGAAATGAAAGCCCTAGGAAGAGAGTTTCGGCAAAATCCCACCTGCATTCTCCCGGGTTATCCCCGCGCGCGTGACTCCTAGGAAACTTTTAATTGAGGTGAATGGGCTTAACAGATGTCTTGAGGAAATAACTTTGAAGTAGCTCTAGATTCTTGCAATTCAAGAAATATCGTTTCTTTCATGAGTGTCCAGACTTGAGGAAATAGTCTTACAATCAGAAAGTGATTGTGATTTGGTCACGTGCCGGGTTTTGGTATAGCAATTTCCACTTTCTATAAAAAGCTGAGAAAGCTACTCTTACTTTCATGCAAAGATAAAAGTTCGTAGTTAATTCGTATTTAAAAGGGTGGCTTCCACTGTTATTCTCAGTTTGGCTAATATAGTATAATTACTATAGTATTCTTTTCCAAATGAGCCCCTTCGTTTTGTTAATTACAATTTAGCTTGCCCCAAATGGTAATCTATCAAATGTCTCCACAAGGCACTTATGTCGACTTAAATTAATATCTCCTTTCATATTGTTACAACGAAATCATCAAAGCTACCGGCACAGAGGTAAAATATGCAAGTGATCATGAACATTTAGTTTTCAACTAACCCATTTTGTTCGTCCGGGTCGAAGAATGGTGTATAGAAGACACGAAACTGTGAAAAGTAAGTTACAAAAACCTCCGTGTCTCGTTAATAGGATCATAGACATGGTAGACCTTTTAAACACGTTTACGTTATTGTCCAAAATACTTCAGGTGATTGACATACCGAGAACGCCCACTTGATTAACTCCATGGCCATGTTGTTGTTGAAATCCTTTGAGAGTCATGGAGAATTCATTCATAACTGATACTTACCAGAGTTATGAGGTGCGACAGAAATTCATTTTCTCAAGCTATTTTTTATTTTTCATTCTCGATATATGCAAAATGCCGAGCGTCAATATTTATACTCACCTCTCAACCAAAGCAACAACAACTGGCCAAATAGGGCTTTATTTGTTCAACTTCCAAATAAACTCAAAGCACACTTAATATGGTATTTTTCAGGCGTGGCTGTTCAGTCACATGAAGGTTGGTACATCCAAGCCGTACTACGCTCACCGGTTTGGTGATGATTTGAATGGAGGATATCACCCAGTGTATGTTCCTCATTCTCTCATTCAAACACTTTAGTCATGGTTACCCGCTTAAAGCAGCAGTATATCTATAACCCGTTAGACTTCATCTCCAGAAAGGCCTAGACAATACGATTGAACAATTCCGACATGGATACCAGAAAGGTTGATCATGGTAGAGACCAAAGATTCGGGAAGTGCAAAAACGAGAGCTTCAAAGAGAAATTTAATACCGAGTAATGAAAGAAGTGAGTGGCGCTTATTTTTTGGTTGTACTGGTATATATATTGAGGTTTTTCAGTCAATAAATCATGTCGCTGAAAACTCTTCAGACTTTCTGGCAGCTTTCGCAATGGTTGTACAGATCTCGGAATATTAGACCAACAACGTCAGCCATGCAATATCTTGCCGAATGTTTTTGAGAGAAAAGGGGTTCTTTTGTATCCATGAGAGTGTGTTGTGTTGTGTCGAGCAGCCATAAGTTGGTCTGGCATAGGCTAATAGTCAATGGAACTTTGGAAACTAATTGAATTTCAACAACGACGACTCACAAATATCCCTTGATAGTTGATACCAATAATCCGGCCCCACTTCCCCCTTTCAGCGTCGGTGGTACCTATCTAGCCAACCAAGCCAAGTGAAACCTAGTCCGGCAACTGACAGGAAGCTCCAACTTCTACTCTCAGACAAGCACGAGACACAATCCTTTTCCGAAATCCAGCAAAAGTGTAAGTTGCATCCCTACTGATCAAGATACCCTCAGCTTTATTCTCAATAGCATCCGTATCTGGTACCGTACAGTTTGCTTCTAGTTTCATTGGGCCCTACGGGTATGGTTGCGTCATACACTCATGCACATCATTTCTCAAGTACCCCGCTTCAACCCCGCAGTATAGGTACTTGCATTACAACGCGTGAATTGCCGTGATGGCCGGGGGCCTGCCTATGCCATATAACGTCGTAACCATTTTTCATTTGACAATGGGTGGCTCTTCGAGAGGGGGTGGCTTTTTCCGGATTTTGTACCGAGTGAATTCAGTACTTTACATATCGTGCAGTTCCCATGTTTTTTCTTGATAGTCTTCGTGGTATTCTTTCTGGAATCAAACTCTCCAGCTTTGTGATGTTTGAACACAGGTTGAAGTCCTTGACGAATCTTGCTCTTGCTCTTTCGGGAGCACTAGCAGCTTCACCCACAAATGGCAGCTTCGATGTTTTTAAATATGTCGATCCTTTCATCGGCACCATTGCTGGAGGTATGGCTCTCATATAACATTTCGCGAACTGTTCTAATTGTTTCACAGGTCATGTTTTCCCCGGTGCAACACTTCCCTTCGGTCCGTTGCCTCATTCACATTGATTCATTGAAAAGCGATTATTGACGGTATGCAGGAATGGCAAAAGCTTCTGCTGATGTCAACAATCCCGACGAGAAACAAGGCGGTTTTGCTTCAGACAACAGTGATATAACAGGCTTCTCACATATGCATGATTCTGGAACTGGAGGAGTATTCTACCTGCAAAAAATGGTACCATGAATTCATTTGCTGATTCACTTCTAGTCTCCATCTCTCGGAAACTTTCCCATATTTCCTCAAACAGGTTGTCCTGGAGATGAAATCAATAACTGTTTCTGGACTAAGACAGATCGTGCTTCAAGACGCCTCAATGGCACTGCTCAAGCTCACCCGGGTTATTTTGCCGTCAGTCTGAATACCTCTATCCACACAGAGGCCACAGTCTCAAACCACACGGCTCTGTACAGAATTACCTTTCCTTCGAATGTGTCAACTGCCGCTCACGGAAAAAATACCTCACTTCCCTACAGTCCGTTGATACTCGTTGACTTGACTGACCTCCCCGACTCCCGATCAAATGCCAGCATCGAGGTTGATGGTGGAACTGGAAGAATATCTGGCAGCGGAACTTTCAATCCATCGTTTGGAATTGGATCATATGAGCTCCATTTTTGCGCGGATTTTCATGGTGCCCCGGTGAGAGATACAGGAGTATTCCAAAATAACCGAGCATTCAATGTCGTGAAGAATATTTCCACTCGTTCAGATGGTGTCAACAATCCTCCACTTTCAGCGGGTGCATGGACGCTATTCACAGCACCTGTCAATAATCAAATTCTTGTTCGTGTAGGGGTCTCTTTCATCAGTGTTGCAAAAGCATGCCAGAACGCTGAATCTGAGATTCCGGATTTTGACTTCAAGAAAGTTCAAGAATCTGCCGAGGATGCTTGGAGAAAAAAGTTTGCTGTTGTAGAAGTGGATAATACTGGCGTTAGTGAAGAGACACAGACAATCTTTTGGTCAGGAATGTATCGTGCAATGATCTCACCGCAAGATTATACTGGCGAAAATCCACTGTGGGAGTCCTCAGAGCCGTATTACGACTCTTACTATTGCATTTGGGATTCTTATAGAAGCATTCATCCCCTTATCACTTTGCTGGATCCACAAAGTCAAACTTTGATGGTTCGGAGTCTGATTGACATCTATCGCCATGAGGGTAAGCATTGGGTTATTTCTGCAAGTTAATTAATCAATGTCTGATCGTAATGGATAGGAAAACTTCCTGATTGTCGAATGTCTTTGTGCAAAGGATTTACGCAAGGAGGCTCCAATGCAGATGTCGTCTTAGCGGAATCTTACCTCAAGAACATCAGCGATGGAGTAGACTGGGAGACTGGATATAAAGCCGTTGTTTCAGATGCGGAAGATGAACCATTGAATTGGGCAGTGGAGGGTCGTGGTGGACTTACCTCCTGGAAAACCCTAGGTTATATCCCAACCGATGATTTCGATCCGTATGGCTCAGGTCCTTTCACCCGTTCTATTTCCCGAACAGTGGAGTACGCATACAACGACTTTTGCATTGCTTTGATAGCAAAGGGCTTAGGCCACACAGGAGATGCTGAAAAATACCTTGAGCGATCCAAAAACTGGAAAAACATGTGGAACCCAACTCAAACCTCCCTGGTGACTAACTCCACTGGGAATATAGGGAAGACAGTCGATACAGGATACGTAGGTTTTCTCCAACCACGGTACCTAAATGGGACCTTTGGCTATCAAGACCCGACGCTCTGTTCTCCTCTTTACAACTTCACATCTTGTTACCTCAATCCTAACGGCCACGAAACCTATGAAGGTTCGTCGTGGATGTATACCTTTTATGTTCCCCAAGACATGGCAACTCTCGTCGTCACTCTTGGCGGACCCGAAGCGTTCACAAACCGCCTGTCCTACCTGCACACCTCAGGTCTCCTCTACATTGGCGATGAACAAGCGTTTCTCCCTGTCTTTCAATTTCACTACGCTGGACGGCCAGCTCTCTCCGCAAAGTTCTCGCATTTCTACATCCCATCCCAATTCAACACCTCGCTTAACGGGATTGCAGGCAATGATGATTCAGGGGCTATGGGTTCGTTCACTACACTGGCTATGATGGGTCTCTGGCCTGTTCCAGGTCAGGACGTATATCTGATCACGCCGCCGTATTTCCCTAGTGTGAGTATTACGAACCCGCAGACGGGAAAGACGGCGACGGTGAAGAATGTGGGGTTTGTGGAGGGTAATGAGACCATTTATATTCAGAGTGCGACCTTGGACGGTAAGGCATGGACGAAGAATTGGATTACGCATAAGTTTTGGTTAGATGGTGGTGTATTGGAACTGGTGTTGGGTAGGAACGAGAGTCTGTGGGGAACGAAGGATGAAGATTTACCGCCTAGCGCTTCTACGGGGTTTTAGTAGAAGCCTGATGAAGCGAGAAAAGGGAGGATAAAGCCTCAAGGTTCTCCAGGCAATGGGAGATTGTGTGAGATATTCTGCAAAAGGATGACATGTCCTAAACTCCAAGGAAAGGAGCAAGCCCACAATGCGCCATTCTTTTTTGCAAACCTACTTTACCAAAGAATGCGTGAGACTAGCTGGGAAGACCGACTCCTATTGCAGGATAACTAGAAGCATACAGACAAGGTTGTGGGAATGGTCGTAAGCAATTTGAACATGCAAATGTTAATGCTGTGGATGACCTTGGCTTTCCTTTGAGCATTCGGATGTTCCTGCTAAGCAGTTGATGCGTGAAGTTGGCAGTTCGCTAAGGTCAGCGAGAAAGGTCAGCGAGAAAGGTCAGCAATGACAAATGATTAATAACAAAGTAGATAACGGTAATGGAAAAGCTACCGATTTCAGGGTAGCTTGGACATGAAGAGCAGGTAAGACCTCGTAGTGTAGTTGTCTATTTTGACAAAATAAATGTCTTATGATTAACCGTTTTACCGTGTTCCCACTGTCCTGGAAACACCCCTCGAAAACCACCGACAGACTTCTACTGCTTTTAGAGATTGTTTTCATCTGGTCTTCATAATTTTGGGATCATCCTAGAGTGGGGTAAAAGTCACAAATTCATACTGTAGTGTACAGTAATGATTGGCCGAGTGTTCGCGTCAATTTCGTGAGGTTCATGCGTGGGGACGTCGAAAAAACAATAGAGACCCACCACCATCCTTCTGAATTAGCCCACTGATTCAAAAAGAGAAAAATCGATCGCACCTTCTGAAATTTCCAAGCATTCTGAATATCGAATCGCTTTTCGGTGAAAGCACACTTTTTGTGTGGCTGTCGATAAGAAAATACTCGTACGCGCCGCGAGAGCCTCGGCAAAATACTTGGAAGCTGTCGCATTTCTGTCTTACAGAATTCCTACAACTAATACTAATTCTGCGAGCGCCACCACACATTGCTTTTGCATTCGAAAATGTCGGCAGAAATTGCGAAGAAGAGAGGAAGACCAAAGAAGGCCATCGTGGAAACTATCGGCGCCGAAATGCCTGAAATTATCAAGAAAACGACACGCGAAAAGTCCACCAAAGCAGCGGCAGCGACTCCACCGAAAGCCAAGATTTCGAAGGCAGCGAAAGCGACAACTACGACTACTGCTGTACCCGAATTGAAGAAATCTGCGAAAGACCAAGTTGCAACTCAGACAACAAGCGCAGCATCACGTATTGCATCGAAAGAAACCCCAAAAGTGGTGGCAAAAAACGCGAGCCCAAAGCCTCAAGTCAGCAAGCCAACTGTCAAATCTCCAAAGATCACAGTAGCAGCAGCCTCAATCCTGACCAAGACAGAGAAGGCAATCGCAGAATCAAAAGCTGCTCTTGCCATCAAGGCGACCGCAAAAACACCTACGACGCCTGTATCTCAGATGACACCAGCACCATCACACAATGCATTCAAAACGACAGGGCAGACTTCGAAGTCTCCTTCTGCGCCAGGTTCTGCGAGCATACCCATGAGAACACCTGGGAGCTCACCAATATTGAGCAAAGTCCGTGAATTGTCTCAGAAGAACACAACCCAGCCTCAACCAAGTACCACTGCGAACTCTACGGCTAAATCAGTTCCAACAACTCCTACACTAGCGTCCAAACCACAAACCCTTCGCCCAATGCCAACTGAGGCCTCGAAACTCACTACTCCAAAACCTACACCAACTCCCAAAGTACCAATTGCGGATATAAATAAAGAGATAGTGTCGAACATAACTGCAAGGGCTGGAGCAAGGCCGGGAGGAAGCAACAATCTACCACCTAATTACAAGTCAGCAGCTAGAAAGGTGACAATGGCAATTGTTGCCATGCCAATCGCAATTGTGACAAGTTACGTTCTCTACCAAAGACGTTAGTGTTCCCCAATCTCAGTCTTTCCCCTCACAAAAGTTGAACTTGATAGCCTTGCTGACATCTGAAAAAACTAGTGTATTTGAAAGAGGAAAAGAAGTCTCTCCTTCCACCTCTTGAGTCAGCTCCAGTATTTGTCCAAAAAGAAGAGGACAAATTTGTGCTCTCGACGCCGCCCAAGAAGGAGCCAGAGCTCTCATAATTGAAAGAGCATGATATCCAGAAGCACGGATTCATGCTGATATAATATGACGACATGAAAGAAGTGTTATGATAATGTAGACAGTACGGCAGAAACTCCACCATATTTGATACCCATATTTATTATACTTTTTCTCCGATTCTTTCTCGATCTTTCTCACTTCGGCGTGACAAGATTAGTACAGATACTTTCAAACGCCCATTTGGGACGCAAACTACAATACTTGGTAAATCTGGTGAGATCTCCATGGTGGCTTTGCGGAACTTAGGAGCTTCCGCGCTATTTCACTTCCAATTTCCAATTTCCAATTTCCAGTTTCATTATTTGGTTATTCGGTTATTTTGTTTACTCCATAGTCGAAATTTGAGGATCGGCTTCTTCCACTCGGACATCTGCACTATCACCAAACAAAACCTAACTATCCTTTTATGATTTCTATCACAATGCTTGCTCTCTCAGTACAATATATCTTCTACATGATCAATTACTGATGTGACTTTTCTCTCGGGTATTTCATCCTGCTGTGGATATATCCGACCACTTGGCAATCCAGACAATTCCAGTGGGAAACTGTAACCGCTATGCTGCGCCAGGTCTTCAATTGTGTCGTCCACAGCCTGCAAGAGAATTTTGGAGGGAATGTGAACACAGGGCAGCTTTGCAGAGCCTGGCTTGTAGGAACCCCCTCAAATGCACAATAGTACTAGCTCTAATAGCGGTGATGATGCGTTAGCAATATGCGGTGGTGCACACCATTCAAGGGAGATCTGCAGAAACGAGGTCAGATGAAGTAGATGAGCAACTTCGTTCTGGAAGGTTTCCATTTGTATACTTCCGATATTCCAATTATTGCCGCATGCTATCCTAAATACGAAGGCTACTGCAGCCCTCTGGTCGTGGCTTATGGCTCAAGCGGAGTTGTAATCGTTTCAACGTCCGGGATCTGATTAGCCATCCAATGGGGATGAAGTCATAGGTGTGAGTGGTGTGTTTCGACAACTACCTTATTGAGCATTTCAACATACTCGGATTCCGGAGCAATAGGCAGGCGAATGAGGGGCTCGTGTTGTCGCCAGATACTGAACTCGTCGCCTCCTTTATCTCCTCTTCCTTCCAGCTTTGGACCTTGCTGGGATTACTTGTTCCCAGAGGGAATTGACGTCCAAGAGTTATTGAATATGCAAATACTCTTCCAATTACTCCTGTTTCTCCAATTGCGATGAACTTGTGTGTTCTGTTAGATCTTTGGGTTATGAAAATCAAAAACAATATCACTCTATGCTGAGAGAGTATCGAAGGTTAGTTCCCGAATGCCTCCTCAGTCCTCATGCGAGGTTATATTGGTAACATTTCGTTGCTTCCTCACGTTAAAGTTCCTTCGGGCTAACCTCTAAAGTAGCCAGAGCCGATCGCCAAACGTTTCATAATATACAATATGAGAGAGGATAGAAACATGCGTGTTTTGCATACCGCCCAATTGTGTTTCCCAGCATATGCCAAACTAGACCAAGAAACGAATCTAATTTGCCTTCTAGTGTCGCTCTGTCGGTACGGTTGAGGCCTCATTACTGTTTACAACGCGTATCTGATGGCATCGCGTACCCAGCAAACGACGACTTCTTATCAAAGAATCTCGGCACCAAGTCAGAGCCGCTTCGAAGCAATTCAACCTTCTGGACTCCACCACTTCTTCTGTTCCTCAATTTTTCAGCATCTATCTGATTCCTGTTACCAAATGTTCTCTGGCCTTATTTACATTGATCCCTTGAAACTTCTATTGCCGGTTTGATTACTGTCAAACGGTATCCCAAGTGTGCAACACGCAGCACGTTTCCGATACCAAGGTGGCACAGAATCATGTTACTGTTGCGTTCATTGCTACGCTACACACCAGATTGCCGGAGAAGCCGCATTTGAAAGTCCACCCCTAATTACCAGACTCAATTCTGCGCCCTTGGAAGAAGGAAAAGTCTTTTCATTCGAGTCAGAGCTGAGCTTTTTCCATACAACTGACGGACAGGTGGATACCATGCCTTGAACCTATCCCCATGCAGGATATCGCTGTACTTGCAGTTTGCTGTGCACAACAAACAGACGAGCTTTATACGGAAAGCACGGAAAGCAGTATTGTAATCTCACGACATCGAACATAGACTTCGAACACAGGATGAGATTCGAAACCAATGAAGGGGAGGTACTAAATATTTCCACGATGAGCTGGCGTGTTTGCTGACCACAATAGTTGCAGGACCTCAAATGAGAATCCTTTGAGGGCCCTCCCATCATCGACACAACACACGCGAGCCTTTAGTTTCGAAGACTAGTCCTTTAACATCACGATGTTCTTCAGTTCACCACAGACGGCTCTCAGCATAACGTAAACGATTTGCGCATATTCACGATCAGCAGCGCGAAGCATCACTGGATGACAGCGAACTTCTGCAGGAAGGGGTGAATGAGCACCACTAGGTCAAGCAAAAGTTTCCACAACCACAAAGTGAATGCAGAAATCAAGCACGAGGATTTTCAAATACTCTCCGCATTTGAGCCCCGCTACTTCTCCAGGAAATGATGGCTCGGAAACTACCAACTTGGAAGTACCTATGCATCGAATCCCAGTCTAGCAGCAGCTCCGAAAGAGGGTCTCTGATATTTCTGCAAGAAATCAATAATTCAAGGAAGTGAACAAGGCAGGGAAGGTCCGATTCATAAAGGACCTTCCTTTTTTATTGGCTGTTGGTTCGAATGATCAAGAGGTCCTCAACTGGTCAGACGCTCTCTCTTCCCCCGCGACTGAGCAACACAATCGGCGAAGAACATGTTTATCAACACATGACTCGTTTTCTGCCCTCCCCTTTCTCTTTCTTACGTCTTGAAATACACAGCAAGCACACTCGCATGTTACTTTGTCCTTCTTCGGGCGGCAGGGAGGAAGCTGCTAAGTTTTTGATTTCATAAATGCTCACCTGTTTGTCTTAAAATGTGAGATATGTCTGACCGAGGCCCTGGTTTGCCTTGTATGCTGCAATAGGTTGTGTGATGATGGGGGTTTGATGCTACTGGCAGCGCGGTTCGCTGTTGGTACTGTACTGCTCCACAGGTGAATGGGGATCTACATATTGTGGGGTAGGTACGGGGTAAAAAGGAGGGGTCGGGTGTGGCCCCGTATCCCTACAGCAACGAGCCACTCAGCGGCCCAAGCAGGGTCAGCATGATGAACCCAAATGCCCTTCACTATCTCATCGCCTTCCTCGTTGGGCCAATTTATCTGACATGCCTCGAGCATGCCTATTTTCTTCCGAGTCATTCATATCCCCAACACATTCATCTCGTCGTTCCGACTCCGAATCAGAACCAGAACCCAATTCTAGCCAACCCGAACCAGTCAATCACTTAGCTTGGTACGGAGCTGGGAAAACAAAACAACACGGTAGCCATGTATGTCACCGAACCGTCGGTTGCACAACGGGGCATGTATATGTCGATACCCCTGGTATAAGTCAAAAAGGTACCATTCAGAAGATGAAGCCTCGCCAATTTTCACCAATGAATGCTGTGGTACAAGGTCGGTTTGGTAGCGCGTTTACGGATTTTTGCTGTCAACGGCGGGATTAAGGTTAAGTATAGAGCACAGCAGGACGCCATTGACCGCCTCTCCACGCCAAAACTACACCCAAATCTTCCTTGATGCAGTTGATATGCAACTCAGACGTAGATCGGTAGTCACGCCTCATTGGGGCGTTTTGCGGTGAACTGGGTATGTACAACTCGGCAGGAACTAGTCCGGTTCTTCTATACGCATGGCGCTCTCACATCCCTCACAAGACTTGCCACGCCATGTGCTCCTCGCACGACGATGTATGACAGTGAATCTATTTGAGAGGTGAAGAGATTCGACGTCAGTCTGTTTAAGGCTAAGGGACGGGCCACGCTGGCCGTGAATCACAAGGGATTTAGTTATTGTGAGAGCTTCTTCAGGAAGGCAACCGACATCCTCCAAGCTCCCTTTCCTGGCGGCAACGGTACGATGCAGGTATGTTGTGCGGACAGGGGATGGAATACAATCCAAAGTGGAGAGCCAGAAGTGTCATTTGACTAGGAAGTAATGTTGAGATGAATGAGCTGGGTCTACCTGGATGGAGTGGGAGTCAACAGAACATAAAGACTGGGTAATGCACTTGTTTCTGTGACCCATAAGTCAGTCTCCTATCACTCCTCTTGACCTCCTTTGAGTCAGGCGGCCATTGCTCGCTCTCGATAGTGAATAACTATAACCTCACCTTCACTCTTTACCTTGTGCTCCCGAGTTATGTTATAGATAGTATCTAGAGTATGTTTTTTTTTCTGTTATGAAACACAAATTTGCAACGAAGGATCCAAGCGGTCTCCACTTTAGAGTCCGTGCTGACAAGTGGCTAGTCTTGACTATGATGTTCCTCGCAGCTTTCCTCATCACCTTGGGAGTACTCCTAACCCAGAACTCTCACGGTACATTGGCAATGGCATCAAATCCCGTAGGAGGATGTTGGAGAGATACTCCGTGTACCGGCCCTGCTACTGCAGCATTTCCAGGAAGCTGGGACAAATACAATTATTCGCCCACCAGCCGAACCCTCGCACCTGCCAAAATATACTCGGCCACCAAGCAATACATCGCAGACTATCCCTTCCCGCTGAATTTCAAGGGCAACAATCAGATTCTGATTTTTGATTTTGGTGTGGAAACCGGCGGCATAGTGCACATCAACTATGCGGCCAGAGGATCCGGGCAATTGGGTTTGGCATTTTCCGAGGCGAGAAATTGGACCGGGACAGACTCTGATAGTACCAATGGCTCTTTTCAACCAGACGGTGCCATCTATGCGGATATTACGCCTACTACCGAGGCAAACTATACCATGCCAATTGACAAAATCCGGGGTGGATTCCGATACTTGACTGTCTTCACTAAATCCAATAACGCTGCTGGCCATATCGAAGTCGACATTTCGGATATCTATGTGGAAATCGGTTATCAGCCTGCATGGTCCAACTTGAGAGCTTACCAAGGATATTTTTCTTCGAGCGACGATTTGCTCAACAAGATTTGGTACGCTGGTGCTTTTACCCTCCAAACAAATGCAATTCCACCGAGCACTGGGCGCGTGTTTCCCATTTTGAATGGTGGATGGGAGAACAATCAGCAGTTGAATATCGGGACTAACGATCCTACGATATATGTTGATGGGAGCAAGCGGGATCGAACTGTCTGGCCGGGAGATCTCACAATTGCTATCATCAGTATCTTGGTCAGCACCGGTGATACTGCTGGAGTGAGAAATACCCTGCAGGTCTTGTACAATGATCAGGTGAGTTTCACGTGCCGTTTCTCGTTTTCATCATGGCTGATTGTATAGGCTGTCGATGGCGGTCTCCCATTTGCAGGCCCCGGTATCAACATCTACAATTCTGACACATATCATATGGCCACTCTCATTGGTACACATGACTATTTCTTGTATACCAATGATAAGGCCTGGTTGTCCGGAGTTTGGGATAGATACAAGAAGGCCATGGCTTTCATCACTGCAAAAGTCGACAACACAGGTTCCATCTACGTTACTGGAACGGATGATTGGGGTCGCGTTGGCCAAGGTGCTCACAACACAGAAGCTCAGATGATCATGTACAAAACTTTGGTCACTGGAAGCTCGTTGGCTACCTGGCAGGGAGAGGCCGATTTGGCAAAGAAATGGACGGACCAAGCTGCTACAATCAAGGGACAGATTAACTCGGTCTATTGGGATGCTTCTGCTGGGTATGTTGAATATCATTTTATCACTTTTGATAACCCACACTAACCTCTTTCAGCGCCTATAAAAACAGCGATGTAGATGCCAGCATCTACCCTCAAGACGCCAACAGCATGGCACTTGCTTTCTCTGCCGCAGATGCTTCCAAGATGGGCACGATCTCCAAATCTCTGACCAAGAACTGGGGCCCCATCGGCGCAGTCTGTCCCGAACTTCCCAAAAACATCGTCGCCTTCGTCCAATCCTTCGAGATCAAAGGCCATCTCATAGCCCGCCAAGCCTCACGAGCATTAGACCTCATCCGTCGTTCCTGGGGATGGTACCTCAATCATCCCGATGGAACAGGAAGCACAACCATCGAAGGCTATCTCGCGGACGGCACCTTCGGGTACCGATCCGAATACGGCTACGCCAATGATTACAGCTACACCTCTCACGCTCACGGATGGGGAACGGGTCCTACGGATGCTCTCACCTCACTCGTTGTGGGATTGCGAGTCACGCAACCAGCAGGTTCGAGTTGGGAACTTGCACCTCAGTTTGGTGACTTGTCACATGCGGAGGCGGGCTTTGTTACGCCCCTAGGAAAATTCGCTGCTTCGTGGACGTTGTTCAATGGAGGGTACTCTCTCGGATGGAGTGCCCCAGCAGGTACGAAGGGAGCCTTGGTCTTACCAGGGAATGGCAGCGCGCAGCCCAAGGTCGCTGTCGAGGGCGGAATGGTGAAGACGGAACAGGCGAAATTCGATGGAGATTCGTCCACGTTGATCATGGAGGTCGAAGGGGATGGGAATATCCGGGTTACCTTTTAGGTACGGAAAGAGATGACTTTGCTTTCTTGCTTTGGGTTTGGGTTTCTTTTCATGTTGTCATAGGGATTGAGATGGGGATGGAGAATAGGGGTTATACAGTACATCTCCACCAGGCGAATACGGGATAGGTATTTGAGGCCCTTTTGGGAGCTCTTCTTTTAGTGTTTTTCGGTAACTGACTGAGATACCCCTTCATTGATACAATGGACCATGCATGATTTTTCTCGTATTATGCGTCTCCAATTCGATGTGAGACTGGTCGATTGTCATTGGATACTTCCTTGAATGCGTATGCATGTGTTTATATTCTCAAGTGGGATAATCGTATCTTTTGATCAAGGGCGATGAATGTAGCGATACCCTACCTAAATGGTACTGTAGATTCCGACGAGACGAATCTGTTCAAAGACTCAAAGTTAGGGAGGATTCGAGAGGTGATCGAATGCAAGTAAGAAGTACAGAAGAAGACTGGAGATTCTTCCTTGTAGTCTGTAGATTTATACTAATACTAGAACTGGCATGTATAAGACAGTACAAAAACCCAAGTCCCAATAAAGCCCCGAAAAAAACCCATGGCGATACAAAGCACCCCAATGACGGTACAGTAATACGGCAGTAATACGGCCACAGAGCAAACAGTAAAAGCACCGATTTAATGCACTAATTTCTAGGCAATCTATAGTTTCAAGAATCGTCTCAGACTCCCAGCAAGCTTGCATCCGTCTCCAAAACCATTCAAGCACCACATATTTGTAGAATCGAACACCCTATCCACCCACATCACAAAGATAACATTCTCGCGATGAAGCAACACACAGTATCAAGCTCACAAAACAAAATAAAAAGCAGTCAGCATCTTCAAAAGTTAAAGCAGAAAAATGAACATATACTTTTTTTCCATTTATTCCCATCCCATCCATTCCAGCTCCCCTTCCCCTTCCCCTTCCCCATCCCCTTCCCCTGGAGATTATAATTATCCACAAACCAAAGCAAAACCCGTACCCAGCCCAACCCGCAACCCCGTCCCCCTCTTTGAGAAAAACGCCCGAAAAATTATCAATATCTTTCCCATAGCTCTTGATCGACGTGATCCCCCCCCCCCCC